ATGACGGGGTGGTGGGTGGCGCATTCAGGTGAATATGATCTTGAAATAGACTAACCTCCTTGTTACCAGACAGGAGCATCCTCAGATCCTTGGTGCGTTGCTATGGTTACGCCTTCAGTGAAGTGTTTCAGATATATTGATTTGCAGCTTTGGTTGCTCCAGTTTAAGCTGCAAAAAGAAGAAGAAGAAGAAAAGAAATGAGAGAGCATTTGGACGGGCGTCAGGGGGCATCTCTTGGAATAGCCCCTTTTTTGTGCTCCTGAAGGCGCTGCAGCCTCCCTCCCTTGGCAGAGCTGCTCCAGCTACTGCTGAAACGGTAAAATGGTGCAGTTTGTCAGTGCGCAAATGCGCACAGCTTGACTCAGCAGGGTCCTAGTGCCAAGTGGATCACGGTTCTCCTTGGGTGAGGAGCTTGGACCAGGAGCCGGGAGCCCTGCTCCTGGGGATTCACTGGCAGTGTCCTCAGTTGCTGCATTAGTTCTTTTGAGAGAGGATGATCTGGTGGAAACTCACACTTCAGTGGTTATTTATTTTGAATATTTATAGGCAGCTAAACGTTACTGAATATTACAGTGTGTAAAACAACAATAAAAATACAACAAATAAAAAGAGAGAGAATTTTTCCAAAGGAAAACTGGATACTGCCCACAAGTCAATTCATCCTTCTAGAAAAAACAAGGATTGTTTTTTCTTTTAAGCCTCTGACAAGATGTGTGCTGTGTTGGAGCCTAACTTCAGTGGATAGCATGTTCCATAATGCAGGTGCGACTGGGCTGCCATAAGATGACTGCAGTGAACCGGCAGCTAAAAGGGGGGCAAGGTGAATCTGGGATATCCTGTCTCAAGCATTTAGGGCACCATGCACTAAGACCTTAAATTTGGCCTGGTAGCCTATTGACGGCCAGTGCAGTTCCCTGAGGAATAGTATCCTGAATAGGCAGACAGCAGCCTCTGCCCCAAGCCCTGCTGCCACATCATGCGCTAGCTGCAGTTTCCCCATCAAACAAAAGGGCAGTCCTACATCAGACCATTGCAAGATTCTGGGTAGGGTGCCACTCTGAGTAATGCATACCTGGTCAGCTCCTTCCTCAACAGTCGAGTCGTGGGGAAGGGAAGTTTTACTTAGTAACAGCACCACCCGGCTAGGGAGCAAGGGGGACCAGGCAGCTGCAGCAGGAGAGACGAGAATGATAATAATAATGATATATAATAATAATAATAATTTATTATTTATACCCCACCCGTCTGGCTGGGTTTCCCCAGCCACTCTGGGCGGCTTCCAACCGAATATTAAAAACAATACAGCATCAAACATTAAAAACTTCCCTAAGCATGGCTGCCTTCAGATGTCTTCTAAAAGTCAGATAGTTGTTTATTTCCTTGACATCTGATGGAAGGGTGTTCCACAGGGCGGGTGCCACTACCAAAAAGGCCCTCTGCCTGGTTCCCTGTAACTTGGCTTCTCGCAGTGAGGGAACCGCCAGAAGGCCCTCGGAGCTGGACCTCAGCGTCCGGGCAGAACGATGGGGGTGGAGACGCTCCTTCAGGTCTACTGGACCAAGGCCGTTTAGGGCTTTCAAGGTCAGCACCAACACTTTGAATTGTGCTTGGAGATGTACTGAGAACAGCATACGAGCCACGTAATGTCCACCTCTTCCCCTGTTGCCCTTCTGTGAATATGACAGAGTAGGGAGTGGAGGGGCTGCTTGAGGTCCACCTGGGCCATAAGACACCCCTGTGCAAGGCTGCCTTTTTTCCTTAATCAAATCGCTGTCATTGTGGTCCCAGTTCTGTGCAGCTGCATCGCCCAGCCTCAGAGGCGGCTGACTGATAGTCGTTTGGACCTTCAACCTTTTTTGATATATGTCCCAAGTGCCTTCTGAGGGATTAGTATTCTATTTCTGTTCCCCGTTTCCTGCATGGCGGAATGGGGATTTGAACTCTGCCCTTCCAGTTCCTAGTGTGGCAGCAGTTAAGTCCTCTTCCAAACTGGAGACTGCAGATCCCTTTCCTGTGTGCAGGTCAGGGAATCCCTGCCTCCTTGGATGCGTAACTGTGTAGCTCAGCTTTAATGGGGATTGGACGAAATTCATGGAGGACAATACCAAGGGAAGGTCTACCAAGCTTGCGCGTTGAGCACACTGCTTTATGGAAGTGAGTCAGGGGTAACTTATACCTGCCAGGAGCGACGCCTCAATGCCTTCCATGTGCGCTGCATCAGGAAGATTTTGGGCATCACATGGCAGACGGTCTCAAACAAAGATATGCTCTCCCCAGCGCACATTCCCAGCATGTTCGCATTCCTGCCTCAGCGACCTCTACACTGGCTTCGTCATGCCTGCAGAACGGAAGATGGCAGGATCCCCAAGGACGTGATCTGCGGGGATCTGGTTCCAGGCACCAGACAGCATTGGAAGACCAGCTCTGCATTACAAAGATGTCTGCAAATGTGACATGGAGGCTGGCAACATTAACCCTGCCATGTGGGAATCCCTTGTAGACAATCACAGGGCCTGGAGACAGAGAGTTGGGTCTTGTATCCACAGCAGTGACGAGAGGAGATATGGCCGCTGGGAGGAGCGCAAGAGAAGAAACGCCCTGGCGCATCTGCAGCAGCACAACTGGATGCTTTTCTCTGCCCCGGCTGCAACAAAACATGTCTCTCCTGTATTGGTCTCTGCAGCCACAGCAGGTGCTGCAACCTGCCAACAGTTTGATTTCACTCTCAAAGGCACACTCCTTCATTGCCGGCCAAGATGGACAGGTGCCAAAAACAACATGGAGGACAGGTTTATCAGTAGTTACTAGTCACAGAGGATTGTGTACTTCCTTGGGGACCAGAGACAGCCTGCCAGGGAATACCAGCTGCTGAGGAACATGAGCGTGAGTGCTGGTGCGCTCATGTGCTGCTTGTGGGCTTCCCACCTGGACATCTGGTTGGCATCTGTGGGAAAGAGGATCCTGGCCTTACAGATCTGGCTTTGGGCTCAGCCAGCTCTTCTTAATTTCTTAACTGCTTTGTCTCTGTGAGGGTTGGGCAGTGAGTTTAATTTTTCTGTAGGCGAAGGACTGTCTGCTTGCGCATTTGTCAGTGTGGCAGCACTTGCGCTCCGGAACTCACTGCCTGTGGACATGAGGCAGGTGCCCTTCGTGGTTCCAGATGCCCCCTGCTGAAAACTCTTCTCTTTCAGCAAACCAGAAACGAAGACATGATTTAGTTGCTTACATTTATTTGAAAGTTATATTGATTGTTATCTTTGTTTCTAATGATGATGATTTTATGTATCTTCGTTTTTTAATTGCTTTATGGATTTTTAGCTATGTTTTATCAATAATTCTATCTGAGCATTACTTGGGGCGTTATTTATTATGCAGTTTATAACTTTTCAAAATAATAAATCAATTGTTTTATTTGTAGAAGATAAGATTCACCGGCCGGTTTAAAGCAGAAAGAAGACCCCCCCCCCAAATCAGTTCAAAGGAAACAAGGGAAAGCCGGACAATGACAACCGTTGATTCAAGCTGAATCAGCTCTCTGCTACAACCCCAAGGTCTCGTTCCTGGTCAGTCAATGCCAGTTCAGGCTCCATGAGTGTATATGTGAAATTAAGATTTTTTACCCTGGCATGCATCATTTTGTGCTTGCAAAACACCCCTTATGTTTTACTGGTGGGACGTGTGAATGTTTGGGTGGGGGTGAGGGGCTGAAGCTCAGTGACAGAACATGTGCTTTGCATGCAGAAGGTATCAATAATAAAATTTAATATTATTATTCAGGCCCCAGGTTCAGTCCTTGACATCTCCAGTAGGAAGTATCGGAGAGCAGCAGGCAATGGGGAAGGCTTTCCCCCTCTGCCTCGCAGAGAGCTGCCGCCAATCTGAAGAGACCCTATTGGGTTAGATGATCAAATAAGGCAGAGCTTTTTAGGCTTGTACAAAACAACAGAGATATTTTAAACGGCTGAGTCATAAAGGTACTGTGTTGGCCCATAAGTATGTATCAGGGTTTAAAGTTTATCAAAATGTCACAAAATAGTGTGCAAGCTTTTGCGTTCCCCAGAACTCTTCATCAAGCTAGAATAGATGATAAGTGGGGTAGGGTGGCTGTGGAGAGAAAGACTGACGTTCAAGCCATCCCTGTCTCCGCCGGGTAAGAATTTTAAGATGGAGTGGGGGAGGAGGTAGCAGACATTCAAAGGAGACCGTTTAGGTGCTTTGTGGGTTTCCGGTTGCAACCAGGTCTGATGGCATTGCATGCGTTGGTGTTTTCTTCTTTCTGTAGCATTCAGAATGTTAACGACAAGACTTTATATAAATATACTGTACAGTACAGTCATACCTCGGGTTATAGATGCTTCAGGTTGGGTTTTTTTGGGTTACGGACCGCCGAAACCCGGAAGTACTGGAACGGGTTACTTCCTGGTTTTGGTGGCCGTGCATGTGCAAAAGCAGTAAATTGCGCTTTGCACATGCACAGAAGCGCCGAATTGCAACCTGTGTATGCACAGATGTGGGTTGCGAACGCTGCAGGTTGTGAATGTGCATCCCACACGGACAACGTTCACAACCCGAGCGTCTACTGTAGATGAAAGGATGGAGTTTGCAAGATTTTGACAAGGACTGGGTTGAGAGTAAAGAGATGGGGAATGTGGTGTCAGAGAAAGTATGAATTGGGAGCCATTTATTATTATTATTAATAATAATATAATAATAATAGCAACACTGACCTCACCGTCAGCTCCAGCCCAAGACATTTTGGCCCCTGAGGTGAACCCCAAAATGCTCCCCCCATTGGCGAGGGGAGGAGGGCTGAGTGAAGATCTGCTTCAGGAGCAAGGCGGTGGGGATAAAGATCTACCTCAGGATCTGCTGCCCCTGTGGATCCTGCCGCCCGAGGTGATCACCTCCCCTTGCCCCTGCATGGGCCGGCCCTCCTCACAGTTCTTCTTTGTTGTGCTTAAGTAATCATTTCATGTGGAGAGGGAAATAAATCACGTGAGTCGATTGTCAGACTCTGTGGGCATGTATGATGGATGGAAGTTTCTGTAGACATTGTGGTTGCCTCCCAGAGTAACCTCAGGTGCATTCTTATGTTAAGTACTGTAGGGGAAACTACCACATTGATTTTATCAGCTCAAGATGTTCAAAAATATCACCTTGTGTCATAAAAGATTATTGAAGCGCTTCCTGGCCAAGTGTGCTGTTGAGCTATTAAGAGGAATTGCCAGTGTGCCCAAGGATGCCCTGTGCCTCCTTTCCCCCACCCCTTATAGGGGGCATTGCGTGAATCTGAGGCCTTGGGGTTTCTTCTGGATCTGCCAACTCTTGGAAGATTGTTGTTTTGAACAGGGGTGCTGATCAGACCAGTCATCAGTCAGGTTAATTGATAAATAAGTCTCCACATGATCAATTGGGCAGCAGATTTGAAAGCAGCCGCAAGAACAACAATGGTTATTTTTAACAGGCAAAGTTGGCACCGCCCGGTAAGAGGCATTCGCTCCCGCTCTGACACGTGAGAGGGGAGAGTCTTCTTAAGGTAGTGCTGGGGCATAATCTTAAAAACAAAACGGTTGCCTATTCATTTGTAATAATTATATGCAGATTTAATCAGTCCATAGGCTGCATTCCTGGGCAAAGGAAACCTGAAAGACAGCTGAGTTCCCCCGCCAGGTGCCCGTCTTCTTCACAGCATCAGCTCTCCAGCGTTTTGAGCAGGAATCTTTTCCAGCCACTGAAGGGCTTTAGCTCGGTGGCTGAGCTTTGGAAGGTCCCAGGCTTCACCCAGAGCGCCTCCAGGTAGGGCTGGGAATGGCATCCTCTTCAAAACCCTGGAGAGCCGGTCAGCATAGTACTGCATTTCCTGACGCAGTATAAGGCAAGTTCCTGGAGACATCAGGAATCAAAACGGAGACCTTCTGGCATCCAAAGCATGGGCTCTGCCACTGGGCAACAATTGTCCCTACCCCCCTCTCCTCAGCTGTTTCTCAGGTGGTGCTGACAATGGATTGTTTGGTTTATGGATTTATTGGCCAGCAGTAGGTATGGAAGAGTCAGGTGGTAGCAGAGGAGCACTGCTCAGGGATGGTTCAGGAGCCGAGCTGGCGGTGAGAAACGATTCCACGCACCAGGAGCAGCATGGCAGAAGGCCTGGAGGTGGAACTAGAGGAGGCGGCAGCAAAGGAGACGGAGAGGAGCAGCAGCCTAAGTATAGAGCAGTGTTTTTTAGAAACTGCTGCCCTACTCTTGGAAGCACCTCCTGGTGTTCTGATGTTCAGCAGCCGGGCCCTTGCTTCTATACAGGACATTTGAAAGAGGACCCTCACTATGGCAGGCCTGGAGGAATGTGTTTGCTGTGTAGGTCCACCTAATGGAGCCCTGAGACGCTTTGCACGGCCAGTTTCAGAGGACGTTGGCTCCTTAGGATGTTAGCAGCAGATGGAATCTGGTCCTGCCAGAATCTCCAGTTACTACCTGCTGCCTCCCTCTCCCAGGTAGCTTGGGATGTCATGAGGCAGATGGTCTAGGGGAAGGAGACTGATTGATTTCGGAGCAAGTCGTGGTTAACTCTTGAGCTGCCTGCCCCTCGCCTTCCGCCCTGTGTGGCTGTGTCAGGCAGTGGAGCAGTTGAGATGGGTCTTTGTTGCCATCTTGCCTGAGATCTGATGGGGAGCCTTGGCTAGCAGGGCGGCTGCTGCTGGCTACTCTTCTCTGCTTTCCCTCCTCTTTTCGTAACACTCTTACTCTCTTTCCACCGCAGCAGGAAAAAAGGCCCAGGGGAGGTGGCCTAAATGCACTTCTGGGAGCCAGCGATGGGGAGGGGGTGCGCATGGGTGATCAGGACAGGCAGAGCTCCAAGTGGTATAGCTGAGGGCACATTTTGCGTCACTTAGGGCTGTTCCCCAGACTATTCCAGACAGAGAGGACCAAAGTGGAGCTCAGCCTGTGACTTGCCTCTGGGCTGGTGTGCTGTGCGACCTTCGCCTCACCAAGCGTCTTGCTCTTCCTTTCTGAGAGCAAACACGGTCTAGCATTAGGACCCAGTGGGCTGACAGAATCTGTGACAAGAGTCTGGAGCAGCACTGCAGAGTGAGTCTCCATCAGCTGGGCTGGATTTTTGTGTGTTGGAGGCTTAAAGACGCCTCTCTGTCAGCAAAAGGGCTCTTTTCTCCCTGTGTGGCTGGAGGGAGAGGGTGGCTCAGGGCGTGGGCATGGAAGCCTCCTCTGCAACATAGGAAGGGGCAGGATCCGCCCTGGTGAGCCCCCTGCCATGAGCTGAGAGCAGCCTTTTCAGAGAGAATTAAAGCTGGGAGGAAGAACATCAGCATGGCCCAGACCAAGAGGCACACGTACAGCCGGGTAAGTGACACATGGGCAGCCATTGGCCGCTCCACGCCTGGGCTGCGCTCTCTGCCCCTGTAGGTACAGTATCTCTAGATGCAATCTGTTGCAAGGGGAGCCTGCAGATGGTCTGGATGGGGAGAAAGAGAGAGAGAGAGAGAGAGTGTGTGTTTCCTTTGCCGGTTCCCTGCCATGAATTCTGCCTCCATGCCATGTATGTTGAGGAAAGCTGGGTTGTTGGCTGAATTTCCCTGCTAGCCAAGCCCTTTCGATGGAGATGGGCCGCTGTTATTTGCTGCTGATACTGTAAGGAGGTGTCAGCTGAGCCTCTGGTGATGGTGAGTTTTCCCAGGGCTCTCAAATGCAAAGCTTCTGGGCTCCTTTCCCCTTCTCCTCCCTTCCCCACCCCAGCAACCACTTGCTCCCACCCGCACCCCCTCCCTTATCCCCCCCCACTCCTTTCCGGACGGTCTTTGAGAGCCCCCTCTTCCACCATATTGCAGTTTGGGCATCAGCTGCAGACTCCGCAACTCGGAACCAGCCTCACAATGGGGCCTTTCTCTGGAGTTTTCCCCCCTTTGTCATTTTGTTCTTGCTCTCTTTCCGCGCCCACCCTGCCCTGCCTGACCCCCAGGGAGGGCTGAAGTGACACACAAGATGTGGGGCTGCTCAGGCAGTGCGTTTGAGCATCCTTGCTGCTGGGCCAAGAGCCTGGTGTTGCTTAAGGTGCTTTGGGAGTGCTGAGTGGCCACCTTTGTGTCTTCCTTCACCTTTGCAAGCCCTGGAAGGAGAGAAGGCCGTTCTGTAGCTCCCCTGGAAGGAAGCATGGGCAATTCCCAGGGAGGCCTTTCTTGCCGCTGCTTCTCGCTGGTTCTTCTTTGGAACATAGGAAACTGCCTTATACCAAGTCCGACCGTTGGTCCGTCAGCCCCAGCACTGACTGGCAGCAGGGGCTCTCCAGGGTTTCAGGCAGGGAGCCTTTCCCGCCCTACCCAGAGAGATGCCTTTGGAGATTGAGCCTGGGACCTTCTTCATGCAAGGCAGATGGTCCAGCTTTCAGCTGTGGCTCTTCACTGGTGGCCAGGCCACTTTGTCCTTCGGCTCCTCTGCAGTTACCCTGGCTAGTTTCCGCGGAGGCCCCAAAGCGGGTGGAAGGCGTTGTCTTTGGCGCTCAGCTGACAGTCGGGAGTGCAAAATGTTTGCCCTCCAGGCTCTGGTGTCTGAGAAGTGAGCTTGTGGTTCTGCAGGGGTTTGTTGCTTGCCTTCCCCTGTCCTTCCTCTTCCATCTCTGAAAGGGGCTGGCAGGGACTGAAGTTTCATCTTGGCTGCCTCTTGAGCAGGGCAGTCGGTCAGGAGGCCTCTGGGTCTGATGCACTGAGGGTGCTGTTGCGTTCTTTCAAGCACAGCCTCTGGGGGATGTATCAGCTGCCTGGGCTGTGATTTTTATAGTCTTCCGGGTTTGGAATCCTCTCCTGCCCCCATAAACCCAAACTGGGTCAGTCTCTTGCCAGAGACAAGGTCCATTGTGGGCCTGTTGAAAGGAAAGGCCTTCACTTGTGTGTTGCGTGCCTTGCCACCGGGGTCCCCTCTTAAGCATCTGCAGGACTTGATGCCGGCTGGTTGGGGAAGGGCCTTAGTGCAGTGCTAGAACATATGTTTGAGTGCAGGGGTTCAGGGTTCAATCCCCATCATTCCCAGACTCCTGCCTGAGATCCTGGAGAGCTCTTGTCGTTCTGGGCAGATGGTGCTGAACTCAATGGACACGTGACCTGACTAGGTACCCTATGTTGGTCCAGCATTGAACATACCTTGCTAGTGGTTGTAGAATGTGGCTGCTGTTTCCTTCTCCACAGAGCTGCACCAGCTCTCTGGTTTTAAGTTGTACCAGGATTGGTGGCTGCACTTTGGGACATTGGGGGCACAAGGCAGTTTAGACTTTCTGGCTCTTCTGCATTCTTTGGCTGACATGGAAAATAGTTTTCCTGTGGGCTTTCAGTTTTGCGCTCCTCCCTGGAGGGCTGGGCACCCTTTGTTCTGCTCGTGAGCTCCTTGGAGCCTCCCCGCACCCATCACCTTCTCCTTCCTTTCACACTGCCTTGCTCCCCTTTTCTAAAACCCCGGCCAAGCGCATGCCAGGGGCAGCCTGGTCCTTGAGCAGAGCGAGGGCTCCTGCCACACAGACACCAGCTCTGGCTGGTTCGCTTTTTCGTTTGAGAGCAACAGATCATCTGTGCCTCTCCGATCGCCTTTGATGAGACAGCAGCCACCCCCATTCTGTCACTGGGTGACAAGTCAGTTATTAATCCTTGAGTAATCTCCTCCTTTGGTGAGGAGGGAAGATGGCAGTTCTCTAGTATAACATGGCTGTTGATAATGAGGCTTAGTGCAAAGGGAGCTTTGCTTCTTCTCCTCCTCCTTCCAGATGAGTCTGTCCATGTCTTAAATGGGAGGCGGGAGATGCTTCGAATCCTGCACCCTTGGCTCTTCTTGTTGGAGGGGTGGGTGGGTGGCAGGGCAGGCTGTGGGGCTGAAGGCCTTCCTCAGACTTTGGATTTGTACTTCAAAGAGACTCTTGGAGGAGGCCTCAAATAGCCTTCTCCTCTGGTGTTTGAGCTGTTGTGGTGTCAGAAACTAACTCCAGTTTCTGGCAGTGAGGAAGAAGGAAGCCTGTGATAATGAACCAACACTGCAGCTCCAGCACATTACCTTCAAGCAAAGCAGGCGATGCTCAATTGGTGTGGAAGATGGTTATTTTTCACAGTCTTCCGTGAGAATGAACTTTAGTGGCAGAGGCTCGTGCCTGCGTGTTTCAGAAATACTAATGTGATTTGCATGTTTGAGGAAGTGTCTGCATTGACAGCCCAAGAGAGTGAACCCCGCTCTGAAGTGGAGAAGGCAGGGAGCTTCTGCAGCCAAGGACAGGCACTCACTGTGAGTCAAGCCTCAGGATTTTGCCAAGAGAAGGTCAGAATCTTCCAGATTTCAGTTTCACAGAGCGACACTGGAGTCCCACTCATTTTTATGTATTTATATAAGGACTTTCTGTCTTTTTCACAAGGGTTCAGTTGCACTGAACACTTGTGGAAAAGGCTAGGGTGAGATTAAACATTATATTAAAAATGCAAGAAGCTTAAATCGCTCTGAAAGTTAAATAGCAAGTATGGCAGCTTAAAACATGTTATAGGGGACTTTGGGGGGGAAGGAGCTGTTGGTGCAACTTCTGTTGTACTGAATTTCTTTCGTTAATGATCTTTATATATGGAATTTCTATTGTATTTTTGTACCTGATTTTCATTTGTAATGTTTTTCTTTGAGAGATTATCACGTTTTTCTGTTAATCGTGCTGCTTTAAATATAGTTTATTATTGCATTTGTACCTATAGTGCTTGCAATGTCCTGTTTATAAATGACAGGTTGTAAACTGAAGTGGCATAGAGATGATTTAAATAAAAAATATCTAGCTTTCTGCCATCTGCCCAAAGGCTGTTGTGAACAAGTGAGCCTGAGAGAGGTGCCTAAAAAGCCCAGGAGGGAGAGCCCTAAATATACCTCCTCCAGGAGCTCATTCCTTTAAACCAGGGCAGCCAGTGAGAAGACTCTGTTCCTTGAAACATGAGTGTAACTTGCCAGGTAGAGGGGACCTAGAGCCCAAGCTGGGGTCCTGCCTGTTCCTTTCTCAATTCCACCCACCCTGCTGTGAGCAGGCAGGCTAGTGACAGGTTCTCTGGCTCATCTGAGGGATGGTGCTCTGACTCTGTGGTAGGTGGCAGGTCCTGTGATTGGCAGTTCTGTTGAGCCCCTCTCTGATTCCCACTGCTGGAGGGCACCTTATTGTATCCACTGCCATGTGCTTTGTGGCATCCTTGTGTTTTCTCTAGACACGTAAATGTGGGTTCCCGAATTGAGTTCCCTACCTCCTGTGCAGTTCATGGTGCCTGGCCTCCTAATAAAGGTAAAGGTAAAGGTACCCCTGCCCGTACAAGCCAGTCGTGACCGACTCTGGGGTTGCGTGCTCATCTCGCTTAAGAGGCCGGAAGCCAGCGCTGTCCGAAGACACTTCCAGGTCACGTGGCCAGTGTGACGAAGCTGCTCTGGCGAGCCAGCACCATCGCAGCGCACAGAACGCTGTTTACCTTCCCGCCGGAGCGGTACCTATTTATCTACTTGCACTTAGGGATGCTTTCGAACTGCTAGGTGGGCAGGAGCTGGGACCGAACGACGGGAGCTCACCCCGCTGTGGGGATTTGAACCGCCAACCATACGATCGGCAAGTCCTAGGCACTGAGGTTTTACCCACAGCGCCACCCGGCCTCCTAATACACCTGCGTAATTTCTGGGACATATTTAGACATGCTGATGGAGTCTGACAGCTTGTTCACCCTACCACGCATCTCTTCAAGTTGGGCAGATGCTAGGATTGCCTCATCCAAAATGATACCTGAATAATATTCCCTGAGGAGGTCCAAATCATTTTGTCTGTCTGAATGTGGAAGTGGGCTTCCTCTGTCTCTCCTCGCCTTGCACTCGCCTTTGCTGGGCTGCCTTGAGGGTTTTCTTTCTAGCAAGCCCAGCTCTCTTGGTTTTCCTCCTTCCTTCTGGATTATCCTCCTTTCGGAACTTGTTTGTTTTCTGGTGGGTGCTGCTAGTGGCTGGTGGAATAAAAGGCATCCTTGTGAGAGAGCTGCAAAAGCTGCTCTTCAGTCGTGTTCCCAGGATCCTCCACTGGCCCTGTTGGGCAGAAGCTGCTGCCTGTTATTCCAGGAGCCCCACGGCCCGCGGGTGGAAGCAGCAGCCATAGTGTGCTGGCTCACTCCTGCTTCTCACAGGCACAGCTGCCTCTGCAGAGTTCAGATATTTTGTTTGTCTCCTGAGCTGTACTCTGCCAAAATGTATTGCTCATTTTGTTATTAATTACTTTTCAATTTAAAATCCTCAAGGGGGCTAGTAATAAAATGCAGTTATCATAGAACTGTAGTGCTGGAAGGCACCCCAGGGGTCATCTAGTCCAACCCCCTGCAATTCAGGAATAGCAACTAAACCATCCATGACAGATGGCCATCCAGCCTCTCCTTAAAAGCCTTCAAGGAAGGAGAGTCAATACCACCTTCTGAGGGAGTCTGCACCACTGCTGAAGAGCTGAAGAGCTATTACTGTCAGTTCTTCCTGATGTTAAGCTAGAATCTTCTTTCTTGTAATAATTAAATGGGAAATACGGAGGACAAAGCAGTGCAGACTAAAACGCCAGGGAAATTAAAACTTAGTAGCTTGCCCTACTGAATTCCTACTCCTCTGATGGAGAAGCATCAGGATAGGCCTCCGTGGGAACATTTCCATAGCAGAGGACCTCTTCAGCATCTCAACCAAACACAGCTCAGCCATTGAAGAGCTTAAAGAGCAAAGAAGCTCCATAATGAAGAGTGAAAGTGTGAAAAGGCAGCCCTTGTTCATCCTGGTTCCAAGCAGATTCGTTCAATTGGGCCTGGAAACCAGAAGGAAGCCAGCGAGGTTGTTTGGTCAGAGAGAGAGAGATGCTCCCCAACATGGAAAGCTTTGCCATAGCACCCTGGAGAAGCTGAAGTTCACAGACACCTCTCAAAAGCAGCCCCAGGCAGAGAGAACACTGCAGTAGATCAGCCATGAGGCAACTAAGGCATGGATGTGTCGCCATAGCCAGATACCTAACTTCTTTAGGAATCTCAGGCGAAGGATGAGTAAAGGGACCAATGGCATCTCACTCACTAGGCTGCAGGGACGATGGCATTCCTTGGCTAGAATGCCCAGGGTGCTGGCGGTGCTGTTGTTATGACATGTATTTAATCTCTTTTTAGCCACTGATGAATTTAAATCTTCTTTGGAACAGACTGTTTTTACAGATGATTTCAATGTTTTATTTCATATTTGTGGTTTTCTTTCAATCAAGCGGCATATACACTTTGTTAAATAAAATAAATAAATGTATATTCCAAACTTCTCCCAAAGGAGCCCACAGCGGCAAGCACAAAAGATAAAACAATAACAGCATCTTAAAACAATTCCGGTACAGGTGGTGCTGCGTGCCCTGGAACTAAGTGTCCTGGTGAGAGCAGAGAACAGGGGTGGGAATTCACTTAAAAGGCAAGAAAAGCCCTCCTCTCCTCTTTGTTTGAGCCTGTAAAGAGAGGGTGGCTTTTTCTTTCTCCTGCCCAGCATTTAATCCTTTAAATGTGCCTTCCATCACACTGCCTGGTGGGAAGAGCACGTCTCCCTGTCCTGGTGCAATTGCACTTCCACCTTAGCCAAACTGCTGCCAGACCCATCACTCTGCAAAACCAGCCCCCCCTCCTTTATTTGAAGGAGGGAGAACAACTGTGGCCCCTCCCCTCTTGGGGTCTGTTGTGGGGCATGTGCTGGGTGTCTGCAGCTGTCTGCTTCAGGAAAGTAGTTATTGATTTTAAGTGGACTAATTTCTTGCTTTTTCAAGCTTTCAGTTCACGAACCTGGAGTTTGGAAGTGAGCCTTTAACAGGGCAGCTGCATTGCTGCATTTTTAAAACAAGTTTCAACAAGTTTCCCCTCCCCACCAAGTTTGTTATTTTACACGCATCGTCTTCCAAAACCTTCTGTAAGTAGTGTTCTCTTTTCTGCAACCCACCCTTAAAAAGCGTAACATTCTTACTCGTCTATGAAGAGGTTTTTTTTAAAAAAGCCGGCCTTCACTTGGTCTTGTTTTCCATCGTTTGGGTGCTGTCCTTGCATTGCTTCCATTTTGTGCAGGAAGCCTCCTGGTGCCTTAGACTGAGTCACTTGCAGGTCTGTCCCTGCATTTCTCAGGCCGACTGTGAATTTAACCCATCAGCAGTTTTCCTAGGAAGGCAGAGAGGCAAACCAGAAAGCCTGCGTCTTGTTAGGGGTGGCCTATTGGAGGCGAAACTGTGTTGGGGGCGGCTGTTCTGGGAAGGCGGCCAGGCCTTCCTTAACAGGCAAACAGGGCACTTGGGCTGCTGCTTCCCATCACAGCCCTGACTGGCTGACTTCACATGTCGGTTTCCATGTCTGTTGCAAAAACTGCATCTTGCATTTTGGTGAAGAGTCCTAGGTGAAATACTTCAAACTGTTGGCCCAGGATCTCTGGTTTCTTCTCCAAGTGCAATGTGACCATGGCACTCTGGTATAGTCACGTTGGCCAGGAATCGGGCAGGCTGGGCCGCCGAGCCTTGGCCAGCACGCTGAGCAACTGGGTATGACTAGAATTGCAGTTGCAGAGGCAATAGTTGTGGAATAGATGTGCAAGGACAGGTCAGCTCTGTTCTCGGTAGCTGAGCTATCTCTGTGGGTTGTGGATTCAGGGCTGGTCCTATGGCAGTTTTTCCAGCGGATTTCTTGAGCTGCGGTAACCACGCACTGCATGCATTAGAAGAAAACACCTTCCTGTGATTCTGGGAAGAAGCACATCTAGGAGGATTTGATTAAAAGGTGTTTTTTCTTAATACAATCATACCTCGGGTTACAGCCACTTCAGGTTGTGTTTTTTCGGGTTACGGACCACCAAAACCTGGAAGTACTGGAATGGGTTACTTCTGGGTTTCGGCGGTTGCGCATGCGCAGACGCGGGTTGCGAACGCTGTGGGTTGTGAATGTGCATTCTGCATGGATCACGTTTGCAACCTGAGCATCCACTGTAATATACAAGGGGAGTGGACTGGGAAGGGAGTGAGGCTGTTACAAGATCTGCGCCCAGGTGTCAAGCCGTGGGATTCCTGGCTGTGTGCTGTTAGTCTGCTCCGTGGGGTGGTGCCGCAGGTGATAGTCCCCTCTTCAGACTCGCTGTACTTTCATTGTGAACACACCATCCCCAATAGGGTTCCATGCTGGCAAAACAGGTTGGTTGCACATAGCCTAGACTTCAGAACAGTACTGATGAATAGCCAAAGCTGTAGATGTTTCCCAGCAGGAGGGAGAGGAAGACACAGATCCAGGCACTTGGTCTCTTAAAGACTGATCCGCAGAGCTTTTCCTTTTTACGGATGCTCAAACCATCAGACTTTCATATCCCAGACAGCCTTTCTGCCTGGAGAGGCCACTTCTCATCTTGCAGGTAGAATTACTGGAGGAGGAGAAGGATGTTCTTCAAGTGGCAGAAAGCCTTAAAAGGCAAGAGATTGGTTGACAATTTGCTCCCGGGCCAGGTCCAGGGTGTTTCTATTTGTATATAAAGCCCTTAACAATTTGGGACCGGTTTACCTGCAAGATCACCTTGCCCCCTATATATGCCAACTCAACTGCTTTGATCTGCTGAACTGGCACTGTTATCGGTGCCACATAATGCCCATTCCACAGTTGTAGGAAATGGATCTCTTAAGTGTGGCAGCACCTGCACTTTGGAACTCCCTGCCTATTGATATCTGGAAGGCACCTTTGCTGTTCTCTTTTCAGCACCTGCTGAAAACATTTTTGTTTAGTAAAACCTTATATTGTAGATTTTAAATTACTGTTGTGAATTTCTTTATTGATGATTTTATTGTTTTATCTTTTCTGTAAACTGCTTTGAGGTTTTCTCCCATCAAGGGGTGTATAAATTTTCTGACATATATAAGCTGGCTCGCAGCAGTTCTTGGAATGCTCTGGCTCCCAAAGAGAGAGGGACTGGGCCACACGCTGCCACTGGGTGCATTTCTAGCGAAAGGACCATGCATTGATGAGAGGCTGCTTCCCATCTTCATTTTGCTCTGGCAGAAGTTGGAAGCGATTTGAAGGGGCTTGGAAAAGATTCTTGCTATTGCCTCCATTTAACACCTCTGGCTTTCTTTTGGGCTGCCAGTCAGTCAGCTTCCATAGAACCAGAAGCATTCAGCAGACTCATGTGGCAGGCCCCCTTCTACTTGAGGCTTTTTAAGAAAAAATGTGGGGGGGGGAGAGGGTCCACGCCTGTGCGTCATAGTCCTGTGCAGTCTTCTCTTGAAAGGAGCCAGATTGCACAGCTCCCCTTTGCAGCACATCCCACTCTGGAGGATTTCAGAAGTCCTCCCCCATATTCGCCTGGATCTGTTTTCCAGCAGCTCATCTCCCTTGTTTCTGGTCCTACTGTAAGAGAATCCACTAAGCAGCCCTTTGCCCTCTTCAACGTTTATTTCAAATCTATGAAGAAACTCTGTGACTGGCCTCCTTTGTCTTCGCGTGTGTAGAGAGGAGGAGGAGGATTTCTCCTTTGTGGCACTGAACAATGCTTTGGGTCCAGATTCGCCTTGAAGAGCCTCGTTGCCGTTGTCCACTGACCCTTGGCTTCTCCCTGTTTGTTTCCCCAGGCGTCGAGCGCCAGCGCCAGGATGAGCGTGGAAGTGAGCGGCAAGCCCCTGAAAGTGGGCTCTCGGGTGGAAGTCATCGGGAAAGGGTACCGTGGGACGGTGGCCTATGTGGGTGCCACGCTCTTTGCCACTGGGAAGTGGGTGGGCGTCATCCTGGACGAAGCGAAAGGCAAGAACGATGGCATGGTGCAGGGCAGAAAGTACTTCACCTGCGAGGAGAACCACGGCATCTTTGTGCGACAGTCGCAGGTAAGCTTCCTCTTGAGCAGCCGCCTGGCGGCAAGGCTGGGTGTTACCGAGATCAGTCAGTGCTTGTGTCGGTCAGGAAAGAAGTTCTGCTCAACACGCTTGATAGGGAGAGTGTCTCTCTCCCCCTTTAAGGTGCATCAGCCGTTTCCAAGCATCAACTGCGGTTTTACCCTTTTTGGTGCCCTTGTGAGTCTCCTAAAATAGGAGGCACCAACTTGGTGCCCTTCAGGCCTTCCCTTGGTGCCCACAAAGCCTCCGAAGCCCACCCCTTCCCACCCCACTCACTGCCCCCTTGGTCCTGAGGCACTAAGGGTGTTTATATAGAGCAGAACTTAGAGTAATGTTATACTTCCCTGCTATTTTAACGCCATGTGCTTTTCAAGCTCAGATTAATTCTGCTGGCTCTGTCACGCACGCCCTTCCTTCCTTTGGAGAGGAAGTGAGCAGAGTGGGACATGCCCATGGCACTTGCTGCACAGTCCTGGTGCCCCCACAGATCAGATAGGGGGGTTGTGGGGGGTTCCTAGTCGGGGAGCTTGAGGTAACCTGGCTCCTCTATTCTTCTGCTGGCCTTGGCTTATGTCTTAAGGATTCTGTCCCAGTGCCATCTGGTCCTGGTTGACTTCAGTCCTGGTAGCCCAAGATGGTTTTGTGCTTGAGCTGGGAAACCCAGATGGCAAGTGATGTGGGGCACAACCCCCCCCCCCATTGCAGCTCATGCCCATTTTGGTGTGTGTTGTGCAGAAGATGGTCTCCTTGAGGCTCCTGCTCTTCTGCCCTTAGTTGTGCCCAAACCCTCTGCCTGGAGCAGTTGGGCCTTCCTTCTGGAAGCCTGGCTACTGGGGCTTCCTCTCTCTCATTTCCTCCCTGAATTTTCTGGTGCTGCTTGACAGATCTGTTGCTATGGCAATCTTGTTGGCAGCTGGAGCTGTTTGCTGCTGCTGCTTCAGGTCCAGCTTCTTCCTGGTGATGGGAAGCGAAGATGCAGAAAGATGTGGCTCTGGCCGGGTTGGGCTGCTCTCTCCTTCGCATTCCTCCGTGCCCCAGTTAGTGGTCAAGTTGACAGGTTGCGCAGGGTGAACCACATGCTTCATATCTGTTTGGAAGCTGCCTCGCGTGACATAATCTGCACATGCTCTTGGGCACGAATTAACCAGTGAGGGTGAACAGGAAGGCTGGGGCAGTTGGCCAGGCCTTTGCAGTGTCCCTTGCTCTGTGTGTTTTGGGGGGGGGGCGGAAGGGAGTTTGCCCCAATATGCAGGGCTGAATAAGGACAAGTCCTTGGATAAGGACCCCCTTCTCTACCTTGCTGCACTTGCAGGAGGGGGTCAGCACTAGCAGGTTGAACCAAGGGAGGGGCCAGCCTGAAACCCTTCCCCTTCCTCATTGCTGCCTCTGCCTCTCTGTGCCCCTTTGCTCCCGAATGAGTGGGTCTCCTAAGAGTGGTGGGTTAATATTCAGCTTGGGGAAATGGCCAGCTCACTCCCCAGTAATCACGGAAGGAGTTTTCCCCTTCCACTCCCCTTGCTCAAAGGGTGTTGCCAGCACAGAAAAAAAGCTGCCTGGCACACAAAGGGAGAATCTTTGCGATGCCTGAATTATATAGCCAAACCCAGAGTTCCAAACTATTAAGACTAGGGATAAGGGAAAGTCAGATATGTAGCAGTAGAAAGGGAAAACCAACCACAAGAGTTTGCTCCCTAAAGAGTATACCAGACAGTCTTAAAGGGAAATCCTAAACTTACTTATAAGATTCAGGGCTCAGTAGAGGACAAATTTCAGAAGGAATAATTCCCATTCTTATACCTGTAAAATTCTGGAGTGGTGCTGGTGTTGACCGAGGGAAGAGAATCCACCAGTCATCATCATCATCATCATCATCATCATCATTTATTACTTATACCCCGCCCATCTGGCTGGGCTTCCCCAGCCACTCTGGGCGGCTTCCAACCAAATATTAAAATACAATAATACATCAAACATTAAAAGCTTCCCTCAACAGGGCTACAGGTCATGTATGCTTGATGTACATGCAGGGCAGGGAGCCACTGGGCATGGAAGACTGTTAAAATCTTTCAGCAGCCCAGGAAGGGGGAAGCAATGGGTGTAAATTGGGAGGTGTTCCCTCTCTTCTGCCAGTAGACAAGGGCCCCCGAGAGATGGGGAGGCTGCGCTATTGCATCAGGCATGGTGGCTATTTTATTCTCAAGCCTTTTTCCACAGGCAGTTCTAGGGTGCTAAAGGGTGTGTGTGTTTTAGATGAAGAACCCCAACTGAACTTAGATCTTCTGACCAAGAGCATGTCTATAAAACCCAGGCATATTGGTTTTGTTTTAGAAAGCAGCAACTGGGTTCCAGGGGGCCACTTACCAAGTCCATAACTAGATTTGAACCCACACATCTTGGGGACCAGAACCTTGTGACAGCAGCACTGCAGGCTTTTCAGAAAGATCTCAAAAACCAGTGTTTCTTGCTGGCTTTGTTTCAAAGGGGTTTACTTTTTGGGCTTTGATGCTCTTAGTACCAGTGGTATTTATGTAATGCTCAGCTATTTGCTTGTTTGAGCTGTGCTAATATATCTGTGTGTATTATTAGTGTTTTTATATTAGGCGCCACCTTGAGGTTATTTACTCTTAAAGACTTCAAATAAATCTTCAAATAAAAATCAATAAAACTCTTCACTTACTGAAGTGTGAGAGGCCCTGTCAGTTCTGGTTTTTGACAAACCATCCAATTCAACTTCCTTTTTTAATGGATTTATGATGCTGCTGTTGCAATTATTTTAACCTGAGCTGTAATGATATGATTTTATCTGCTTCCAATCCATGTTTTAAAATCAGCATTTTGATTTTATTTTATGTTTGTCACTTTGCATTTAATATATTGTAAGCTGCCTCGTTGAGGGTGCTTACCCTGAAATGTGACCTAACAGTATTTTAATAAATAATTTATATGAAATGTTAAATCTGATCAGATCCAGGTTTTTGACGATGGCGCAGAAACAACGTCCCCGGAGACGCCGGAGTCTTCCGCTTCGAAGGTCCCCAAGAGAGGTAGGGACTTCAGTGATCCTTGACTAGCCTGTTCATGTGAATATAGTAGGGACAAGCAGGATTTTGCAAGGTTCCTGCTGGGGCACCTTGTTTTCTCTGGCAGCTGAATTTGAACAGCAGGCAGCTTAAAGAGGGTGTGGAGAGAGGATCCCATAGGGTCAGCGAAGCCAGATAAGCAGGTGGAGATGAGGGGGGGGAAAGAAAGCAGCCGGCTTCACCAGGCAGAGGTGAAGGGAGGTGACGATTGTCCTGGGTTAAGGACCAGGACATAGGATGCAGGAAGTGGCTGGGTTAGTCTTATAAGGTTGGGATGCAGGAGTGAGGCCGGCAGGTGAGAAGCGTCAAAGTTTCTGGACTTGGCCTTAATGTTTTCTCCCTGGAACTCTGAGCGGCATGGCTTTTTGCCTGAGGGTTTCCATGGAAACCGGTGGCTGCTGCAACGTTTGGTGCAGGCCTTGTCAGTTTTCACAGGCGTGAAACAGATGGAAAGGACGTGCTGGGCTCTGCTTGGCTGTAGCTCTCTTCTCTCTTTTTAAGGAGCCTCTGGCTTCCTTAGCATTCAGGCTACAGCAGAGCTCAGAGCTACTATAACATGGGCTGGTGTGTCCCATGCTGGGTAAATTGGTCTGAGATTTGCAGTGCCTTGGGAGGGCATGCCAGGGCTGGTTGGCTGATTTGCTAGAAGCCCTGCACTCCAACTTTGTCTCCCTTCTCCACAAGTCCAGAGTACCATTAACATCAGGTGATGCGGTTTGACTGAGTGCATCAGCAGTAAGCAGCCTGCACCTTTTTTAAGCATTCTGTTTTGCTCCTTTGGGATACTTGATTTGTATCTTGGGGTTCCTCCTGCTAGGCTAAAACCTTTTGTTTTCTTTGTGGGTGGCCCTGTTTCGCCTTCAAAATGATTGGCGAGGGCCAGCTGAGCTTGCCATTAAAACATCGTATCGTCTCCAAAGTAGCTTTTAACATTCACAATAAGGCAGCCGGTATCACAGAACACATCCAGTAAAGACAAGTGGCAAATGACCGATACGCATTAACTACAGGACGGTATCAGGAATGAAAGGGGACTCGCCAGGTTCATTGCTGTGCAGAGAGAGGACATCACAAACCGTGTGAAGGATACAGGGTGTGCTTTATTAGTTATTGTGGGGTTCACTAAGTTTAATAGCAGCTATTATTGTTATTAGGGACGCGGGTGGTGCTGTGGGTTAAACCACAGAGCCTAGGACTTGCCGATCAGAAGGTTGGCAGTTCAAATCCCCATGACGGGGTGAGCTCCCGTTATTTGGTCCCTGTTCCTGCCAACCTAGCAGTTCGAAAGCATGTCAAAGTGCAAGTAGATAAATAGGTACCGCTCCGGCGGGAAGGTAAATGGCGTTTCCGTGCGCTGCTCTGGTTCACCAGAAGCGGCTTAGTCATGCTGGCCACATGACCCGGAAGCTGTACGCCGGCTCCCTCGGCCAATAAAGCGAGATGAGCACCGCAACCCCAGAGTCAGTCATGACTGGACCTAATGGTCAGGGGTCCCTTTACCTTTACCTATTATTATTATTATTATTATTATTATTATTAACTTCGATGCCTCAGTGGACACTGGTTTGCATGTGCTTGGAACCTGAGTTTCCCCCTCTGCCTCACAAATGAGCTGAAGGGTATAAAATGGGAGCTGCCTTCCTGGCAAAATCCAGGAATCCAGATCCTCCCTTAGGAACTTGCTGCTGATGCCTTGACAGGTGCGGGGAGAGTAATCCATTTTCCAGAGTCTCTTCTGAGTGCTTTGCTTCTTTTCCTTTTCTCTTCTCCTCCAGATTCTTCGGAAGGTCCCAAAGCCAGCAAGCTGGTGAGTACTTTGTTCTTGGGAAGGGCGAACAGTTCACGTCTATCTTTTGGTTTGAAGGGGGGGGGGGATTTTGCCCAGACAGTTGAGACTTCATAGAATTATAGAATTGTCGTTGGAATGGATCTTGAGGGCCTCCTGGTCCAGCCCCCTCCAGTGCAGGATTCTCCCCTGGGTCATACATGACAAATGGCCACCAAAGCTCTGCTTGAATGTTTTGTGGCTTTGCTCTCAATGTGCGCAAGGGCAGGGCTGGGATGGGGGACTTAGAGCACACATCACACCCGTTGCAAAGGCAGCAATTGCTTTATGAACGAAAAAGAAGGGGCTGGGTGTGCAAAGTCCTGCAACCGCTGACTGAAATGGGTGTCTGCTGGAGCAAGCCAGCTCTGTCTGCCAGGGGCGCCAAAGCCTGTGACGCTGCGTGTCCAGAGGTTTGCTTATTTGTTGCACGTGCACTGAATTGAGGGCTCTCTCACAGCCACCGGGCTTCCGGGCTTCCTCACACTCGATGAGACACAAAAGGCCTAGGCATGCTTCTTAGTTCTGACCCCTGGACTTGGAGCTGCTCCTGCAGTTTGCAGGCCAGGGCGCCTTGCTGGGAAGATGTTACAGGCTGCACCCTCTAGCATCACACCTTGGCCCAAGCCACAGGGATGAGTTGGCTTGCGCAATTAGGGAGTGGGGGTGTTGTCCCGGCTTCAACACGGAACCATGCGCCCCTCTCGGCTGCCACGTTGGCTGATCAAATGACTCCGTCTGAGGCTGGTTCAAGCTGCTTGCTGGGTCGCTGGTTCCGAGCGATGCGTCAGGGAGCACATGGCACTTGCAGCTGCAAGGGAGGGCCTGGTTCATGACCACAGTGGAGCACAGCAGCCTGCAGTCAGAGATACGGACCCAAGAGCCGTGGTGGTGTGAGCTAGTGTTGACTCATGTCGCTCATGTTCCTGCGCTCTGTGGGGATCAGAAGTGCCCAAGTCCAGCCCCCTGACTTGCCTCTTCTCTAGGCCGATGGAGAGGACATATGCAGTTAGCTGGCTGGTGGTGCCTTTCCTTGGGTTCCCCTTCATGTGGGGCAGAAGTGGGTCTGTTGCCAAACATTTGCTTCACCCTCAGTTTTGCAAGCCCTCCCATTCAGTTTCTAAGTTATGTGGTGGTTCAGTGGGAAGATTACCCCCCCCACCCCTGCTGAGCCCCAGGAACGAGGGAGGAGGATGAAGGCAGAGGGGCAGGGTGGAGGTCAGAGTTATGCCGAAGGAGCAGCTCTGCCAGAGGGGGGGCAGTCACTGACTCAGGAGGGAGGTAGGCAGGCGGGTGGGTGTCTCATGAATTGGCGCTGCTGCCCCCCAAAACTCCCTGGCTCTCTTGAATAAATAATAGTAATTTTATTATTTGGACTCCACCCACCTGTCTGGGTTGCCCCAGCCCCTCTGGGCAGCTCTTTAGAGCAAGGGCACAAGTGGCTTTTCCTACTGCCAACCTTGCAAGGGGGGGGGTCGCCGTGCCCAGTGAACAAAGCGCTTCCAAAGGCACCACCTGCCCCAACAGATGCCGGCAGCGTGGAGCGTGACGCGGATGGTTTGCGGTCGTGGGCTTTGCAGGCGCTTCTCACATGGCACCAGCTGGGCAGCAACAGCAACAACAGAGGCTGCTCTTCCTCCAGTGCCCACTTTCCTGGTTTCCGAGATATTAAAACATTGGGTGGGAAGAGATGGGAGGCTTGGGGAGGAAGATGCTCATCCCAGTCCCAACCTTTCCGATTTCCAAGATGGCCTGCTGGGATTTGCCCCCCTGGGTGACTGGCCTGAGTTGCCCAGTTGAGGCTCATCAGTCTTTTTAAATAACATTACGGAATAATCTTAATGTGTCTGCCAACGTTAACATACCCTCCGCTGTCGCAAAAATAGCTTGTGTTAACCAGCCTAACATCCAAGCAACTTAGTTGCTTGGTGATATTCAGCTAAGCTTTACTTGGAGTCCACCCTCTGAAATTAAAGGACCTCAGTTAGTCATGCTCATTAATTTTCAGTGGGTCTACCCTGAGTAAAACTTAGTTGACTGCCCCCCTCCCTAACTTTTCACATGCAACCAAAAATCTTGTGGTCTTCTAGTTAAATAAATGTGATTAACGTCCTGGATTTCTCATTTCTCTCTCTCTGTTCGCTCTCCATTGTCGTTCACAGTGCTGCCATCTCATCTGCAACTGGCATTATTTCTTAATTTCTTTCTCATTTATTCTGCCTATTCAGTCCATCATCAAATGCAACCCCTCCTCTCCACTCGCTCACTGAAAACTCTGGTGCCGTCTCTCCCCCCCGACTTCTGCAGCCTTTTCCTCGCTGGCCTCCTGCCAGCACAGCTTGACCACCTCAGCTCCACCCAGAACTCTGCCCCCAACACTGCTCACCACTCTGGCCAGGTTGTGCCCCCTGATGAAATCTGTCCACCATGTTTTAGTTTGGAGAAGAGGTGAGGAAGAGGGGACTTACTCTCTCCAGGATCTCCCAGCATGGAGGGCTCTTTCCCACTTATACCAGGAGATGCCCCCAGGGACTCAAGCCGGGGACTATGGCCAAGTCCTGGAGTTCATCCTGTCCCCTTAAATGACATTTTCTTAGCCATAAGCCCCAAATTTTATGGAAGGGTATGGACACAGTAATAATGTCAGCTGCCAATAATGTTAATAATGTCAGCTCAAACCTTCATAAGGGAACAGGTCATCCCTTGGGCTTCCATCCACCCAGCTGTGGCCTCACTGCCTTCATCTCCGTCCTCATTTCCATAAAACTTGCCCACCCTCTGCTGTTTTGGAGAGTCGCCTCCTCCCTTGACTTCGTTTTGCTTCCCAGTCCTGAGTCTAAGGCTGTGCCCATGGCTTCTTTCTAAGAAGAATGAGGAACTTGAATCTCGGGGCCGCTTTCCTCTGTCCTTTCCGGAAGGGCGTCTGCCTGCATCCCTTGTTCCAAGCTGAATTTGGAGCTGTGGGCAGGAGTTGTTTGTTGCTCCACTAGATGTCAGCAGAGCCAGGAGATCTTGGGAGCTGCTGTTGCAAAAGAGTCCTTGGCTGTCTAATGGGCGGAAGGGCGGTATTTGGCGAGAGTATCTCCTTTGAGGGTTATACAGGCTACATTATCTGCTTGTATTGCATTGTGGTATCATGTTCATCTCAGTGACTTGCAAATAGTTCTCTATTTGTAGATAATCATGGCTGAAGAAGAGGCCATTTTGAAATTGGTTTCTTGCTTTGAGGGGAATGGTCGTTCAGGGTGTCCCAACCATTTTCTCTGGGGTTTCCAAACTGACACCAGTGGAACCGACCGCGAGGAGACCCCTGTTCTCCTTTTGAGGTGGGGCCCTTCCATACAAGAATTGTTCCATGAAGCAAACTGGCTGCAGTCCTCCATGGGCTTGCGAGCTCACCAGTCTTTCCTCAGTGAATTCCATATTGCTTACTTCAAAGTCAACATGGTTCGGACTGTCCTGTGTTTGGTCTGCTGTTGAGACTTTTCACCTATTGCCTTCCTGCTTTTAATGGAAAGGCAGGATAGAAACGTTAAGTCCTGCTTCCAGGCATCAGCACCACGACTGAGTTGTGGCATTATATAATTTCCCTCCCACCTCTGCTACTGCTGTGTGAACCACCTTCCATCCGGAGCCCAAGGTGTCCCAGGACCTGGGTGCGAGGAGGGAAAGGCCAGCCCCGTCCTCGTTTCTCAAGCTTGCTTTTCTGTCTTGGTTGAACTCCTGGAGGCTAACAAGGCTGTGAGAAGGAGGAGGAGGGTTGTGTGTGTTGCTGAACGGAGCCTAACCAAGATGGTTGCCCTGAGCGAGGTTTTCCCCACTATGGCAGCACCCAGTCTGGTTCCCACTTGCCTTTTGTGCATAACAGCCTGTATCTTTCTAACATCTAATCTTTTATCCTCTTTCCATGCAGCGTGGAGTGAAACCTAAAAAGGTGGTGCCTCTTTTTTCTCTTGACAGAGTCCCACCCGCGCATGAAACCGTTTCGGCAGGGGCTGCTGTGCCCCCCCCTCCGTTGTGCACAAGTGCATGTGCCCTCCTTGCATGTCTGCTCCCTTGGCTGGCGCCTGATGAGTTGGCTTGGAGTGCTTTGCATCAGTGGTTCCCAATTAGGGGTCTGTGGAGTGCACTCAGGGGGTCCGCAGCCCCATCCCTTGCCTCCCCCCCAACTTTTTAAAGGGTCATTTTTGCATGGTAATGTCACAAATTTAATGGTCTGTTTTAGCGCTGTATGATTTTTCAGTATATTGGCCAAAATCGGTTCTGAAATCACACCGTGATAACGATTTTGACCCGGTAATAAGCAGCAATATATTGCTCCTCACGGAAGGGAGAGCAGGGCAGCTGACTTCAAGGCACCGCTGACACCGCACAATGATCTCGGCCGATAACGCTGGTGATCTGAGCTTTCTTCCCTCCCTGAGCTGAGGGAGACCAGGGCATCTGATTGCCCTCACTTCAAGGCACCATGGCACCTCCTTTCCCCTGGCACTGAGGCAGAGCAGCTTTTCTCAGCAGGAAAGCAGCAGCAGTCACAGTGGACGTGCATCTTCTCTAGCTGCTCCGCTGATGGTGACTTGATGTGCCCCCTATCCCCATCCCCTTCCACTCAAACCATGCAGTGGGGGTGACTCTTCTCCTTCTTCCCCCCGCCCCCACCTGCCTGATTTTTGTGACGGCTCCTTCCCTCATCCCCACGCCTGACCTCCAAATTCAGACATGGTGATATATTGGAATATCACAACGTTTAGCCACTGATACATCACAATGTTGACAACCAGATATCACGCAGCCCTAGTCTGTTTTTTAGTATATCTAAAATCCTTTGCTTATTGGGGCTATCTCACATTTTGTTCAAAAAAATGCTTTGCAGAGTTATCAACGTTAGGGCGTTCATGGCTTGGCTTTTGAAAAATAGGGGGTCCTCAGTAATTAGCAAATTGTGAGCCGCTGCTTTACATAATTCACATGTTTATAAGCCGCACTTTCATCAGAATATATTGAGGCGCTATACAACGTACAGAGGGACGCAGGTGGCGCTGTGGGTAAAACCTCAGTGCCTAGGACTTGCCGATCGTATGGTTGGTGGTTCGAATCCCCGCGGCGGGGTGAGCTCCCGTCTTTCAGTCCCAGCTCCTGCCCACCTAGCAGTTCGAAAGCACACCTAAGTGCAAGTAGATAAATAGGTACCACTTTATAGCGGGAAGGTAAACGGCGTTTCCGTGTGCTGCGCTGGTGCTCGCTCGCCAGAGAAGCTTCGTCACGCTGGCCACGTGACCCGGAAGTGTCTCCAGACAGTGCTGGCTCCCGGCCTCTTAAGTGAGATGGGCGCACAACCCCAGAGTCGGACACGACTGGCCCGTACAGGCAGGGGTACCTTTACCTTTACTTATACAACGTACAAGAACGAAATCAGCAAGAAGCATCAGTATAACATCAGCCAAGACTTGGGTCTGGGCAGCTGGCGGCCCCTGAGCTAGGCTGTTCCAGGGCTCCCTTGCCCCCTGCCAGCTTCACCTGGGCTTTGAAAGGGTGCTGCCAGCTGCTTTTTGCCCGGGTGAGCCTGGCTGGGGCTTCTCATGCTAGCACAGCTGCTGTTGATTGCTTCCTTTCCATCTTGCCCTCCTATTAGTTTCTGGCAGGACACAGAAAAGCTTGAGCTCAAAGACACACTGCTGGCATCCTGGGTGAGCAGGCCTGGCCAAGAACTAGCAGCCGTGTGCCTTTGAGAAGAGCACAGAGCTGGCTTACCCTGCCTCTCGCTCTCCCTAACATAAGCCACCCCTGGGGTACTCGTAGCAGCAAGGAAGGGCCCGTTCCCCCTTTGGGAGAGAAGGGCAATGACCACCCCACTCTCCCTGGGACATGGGGAGGGGCTTTGTGCAGCCCTTGGTCTTGGGCCTTCAAGCACCAGCTTTTCCTAAGGCAGAATCAAGGAAAGTGCAGCAGCAACACACATCAGAACAAGAAAGCCCAAAGCTGCCGCTTTTCATGCTTATTCTTCCTACGATTAGTCTAGTGGCAGCTTCTGTCAGATCTGGGAAATGAATGGGGGGGGGAGGGGGGTCAACACCCTCTGCCCCTGGCCCAAGTGGCTGTTGCGGTCGAAATCTGAATCCCCATGACTGCTTTAAGGTACTTCAGTTTGTGAACGAGATCTGATCGTGGAATGACCCGAATCCCTGTGCCTTGGCCCGCAGGCACTCTGAGCCTTGCACCCCAGAGGGAGAAGTCCTACCTTTTGGCTTCTCAGCAGAGGTGGGCTGTCCTTGGCCTCCAGAGGGTGTGGCGGAAGTGACCTCTGACTGGGAGAACCTTTCCTGGCCTGGCTTTGAGGGCCCCTTTCCATCTCTGGCAGGGATCCCTTCTTCCTCCACTGCCACCGCTGCCGCTGCTATTGCATGTGCCTCAGGCCTCCTGACCTGCATGGGCTCTGTCCTCCCTCCCTCCCTCTCTCGCTTGTGCTCTTGCTGCTGCTGCTGCTGCTTCTTGCCGAACCGTCTCCTTGCTGCCAACACTTTGCATGAGGCCCCAGCCTGGTCCCAGCTCTGCCTGTCCTCCCACCCTTCAGAGCGCACAGAGAGCAACGGACGTCCAGCTGAGCGACTCTCCTTTCTCTTGGGCTCCTGGCGGCAGGTCTTGGCTTGCCTGGCTTGTTTGTGAGTCGGAAGGCAGTGCCGGGGGACTCCTCTTGTCCCAGGGGGCTCCCCTTCCTCATGATGAAACGGCTCAGCAGCCTGGAAGAGAAGAGAAGATGGGGCTGCGTTGTGTCTTGTCCCTGAAGCCGCTTGCCCCTTGGCCCTGGGGGTGGGGGGCAGGTTCTTTCTCCAGCTGGCACACCCCCCCCCAAGTATATATGACATTTCAGCATGCTTAAATCTCTCTCGGCCCCCTTTCGGTCTCTTGAAAACAGAGCTGGGTTCAGAACAGCCGAAGGTGGCAGCAGGTAAATCTCCGTTGATGAGATTAGGGAGCTCTTTGCAGCACAGCTCTGCCTTGCTAATCGGGTTACTGGCTCCCTCTGGCTGTGCTTTTTTAGTGACAGATGGTCCCCGTGGTCCCAGAGGGAGAGCCCCCAGAGAGCCCCCTCCCTGCCTGCCCCAACCTATTAACCCTCCCCTCCCCCACCCCAACCATCTGTCTCCCCGCCCGGAAGGAGCCTCTCTGCTCCTGGTGTCTGCCTTCTAGGCATGGTGGCCTCTCCCTGGTGACAGGGAGCACCAGGGCAGGCTGCCTAGTGGCTAGCGCAGCAGGGCCCTCTCCAGCCCTCTGCTTGGCAGGTGAGGCTGAAGGACCAAGGGCGGGGCCTGGGCAGTGAAGGACCTGCGAAAGGACTGCTGAGCGAATGCTAGAAAGAGCATCTGGACGGCCTCGTGGGCCTTCTAGCAGCAACCTTACATCGCTTCTCTCCTCCTGGGGAGGAGTGGGTCTCTGACCCCAGTGGCATTCTCTGGTTCTGTTCCCAAAATGCATCCAGTGCTCCCCGTCCCCACTGGGGGGCAGACAGGAAGCGCCAAACTGGGCTGGGGGAAACTCCTGCTTAGGTAAGATGGTGGTCCGTGAATGATGGGTGCAAGTTGGTGGAGTTGCAGGAGGCCCGTTATGCACCCAAAAGCTTTTCCACCATCCTCATCCCCTGTTGGGGTATCTCTGAAATGCACTCTGGCATCCAGGCGATCACCTTGCTCCCCCCACCCTCTCCCAGACTGGCAGTGGGCGATGAGCTCTCTGTGGTAGCTGTCCTAGGTAGGAGAGCCTGTTCCCTGGGACGCAGGGATGCTTGTGCAGGACCCGGAGGGTGCTATTTTTGGAAGCCAGAAGGGGCTGTGTTGGGTCTTCAGAATGGAGCCCTGGTGCCTTATGTACCTCTTTGCTCTTACCTGAGATCAGCAGGGGCGGGGATGGAATTATAAAAAATAAAAGAGGCAACTCTACACAGGTTGTAAGATTGAGTTGGGCCAGATGTGCAGAATGCATATAGCCCTTTTGGTGTCGGGATCCTGACTCACTGAGCAATGGGCCATTCTCTGCACACAGAAGGTCCCTGGCTCAGTGCCCAGCACCTCCCAGTTAGAAGTATCAGGACGCAGGGAAGAGAACGTTTTTCGCAAGAGACCCTGGAGAGCTGTTTCTGCCCTGTGCTGGATGGACACACGTAGCCTGGCTTGGTGTTCAGGCAGCCTTCTGTGAGCTTCTCTTCTGCCTGGTGCTTTGTTTCCTTAGTTTGCTGGTACAGACTGTTTCCCTCTTTGTCCCAGCTGCCCCCCCCCCCCCCGTTGGCTGCTGAAAGCGAAGGGCCTTGTCTCCATGCAGCCAGCAGCGGCCTCTCTGGGGTGCTCTCCTGTTGTTCCAGCGCCCTGCCTGGGCCTTTGGGACTTGGTGTCATCTTGCAGAGCTCTGCTCTTCTGAGCTCCTTTTATCAGGTCAGCACTGATTGCAGCTTCCCGGCGCCTTAATGGCTGCTCTGCCAGGGCGTCCTCATTGGGAGCTCACTTTTGAGTCAGAGATCTTGCTTGTCAAGGGAGCTGCTTTGCCCGGGAGAGGAAAGACAGGGGCTTGTACCCAGCAGAGTCTCATTTGTGCAAGGACTTTTCTCTGAGCAACAGAACTTCTCCTCCTCCCTCTCCTTGTCTCCTCCCCATGCACAGGGAGACAAGGAGAAAGGAAAGTTCCTTTGTGTAAGTGGAAGAAGTCCTGTGAACAGAGCAGCTTCGTCGAATACAATGCGGTCTTTCTGTTAGCGTTGTGTTTGCAGCATTGTGATACCTGGCCTGGAGTAGATTCCAGGTGAAACATGCTGCCAGCTTAAAAGGCTTCAGTGAAGTGGTCTCCTGGCATAGGCTATGAGATTCAGCAGAAGTCCCACATGGGTGTGGCGCCACGGTAGCCTTTCCCAATCACCTGGGAGATGCTGAGCATTCTCCTGGCTCCAGGTCACCAAGCCCAGCTCTCTGCAGAGTGTGGGGATCCTGTGGCCTGGCCCCTTTCCCCAGCCAGCTGCCTTGGCAGTAAAGGCAGTCCACAACTCTGCCTTGTCTGCGCCCACTTGGAAGCTTCCCCGCCACAACTTGTTTCCACAAAAGAGACAGGATCACAGGAAGCTGCTCTTTACCAAGTCAGACCATTGCTCCATCCTCAGTACTGTCCACACTGACTGGCAGTGGCCCTGCAGGATTTCTCCATGCTGTAGCCTCTCTCAGCCCTACCAGGAAACGCTGGGGATTGAACCTAGGACATTCTGCACACCAAGCAGTTGCTCCAGTACTGAGCTGCAGCCCTTCCGATCCTCCCAAAGTTCAGTCTTTAGGGCAGCTGATCTTCAGGCAGTAGTTGAGATGAGGAGGCATTTTCAACGAAGTGCTCCTGCCAGCTTGCCACAAATACTCCCCAGCCCCTTGTGCCAGTTGCCGCTGTCCTCTCCCCAAGGAAGAGGGGCTGAGCTGGCCTTTAGCTGTCTATGGTTCTTAACGGTGAAAACTCCCTGTGGGTGACCAGCATCCTGGCTTGGCTCTGCTTTCTCTGGGAGGATGAGAAACAGCTTCTCTAGCCACCTTGCCCAAACCCCTCTGGGCTGATCACAAGGGCAAGCTATGAGCCAGTGTGCAGATCTCCTACTGCAACAAATGGCTATTCTTCTTAGAGGATAGATCCTAAATGTCATTTCTTCCCAATGTTTGCTCTTTTTGCATTGTTTGGACTTATTGACCACATTGTCATATTTCACCTTTGGGGCAAGTGCTCACAACCTTCTGCTGCCGTTCTCATTCAGTCCAGTCGCTGTGATTGTGGAGGATCGGTTGGTCCCGAAGCTGAGCTTGTTTTGGTAAGACGACATGGACACTTTGCAAGCCAAGTGGCAAATAAGAAAGAGCTTGGTGTCTTTATTCATAGCTGCCGAAAAGCCTCTTAAAGTTTTGTGAAGGTAGCAAAATTGAAGATTCTGAATTTTCTTTCCATTTTATGCAAAAGGCCAGTTTGAGAAAGTATGAGAGAGAGAGAACCAAGGGAAATCCCTGAAACCAAAAGAGGGTCTTCCTCACCTGTATAGTGTGGTGACAATGCCACTGAAAAAGTTCACTTCTGCCCAATTTTTGGGGCTTCTGCTCATTTTTGCTGCTTTCCCCCCCTTTAATCCCATAGTTGATCTGGAAAGCATCAGTCCCTTTCACACATCCCAAAGTCCAGATGGGGAACCTCCAGCCCAGTGTCAGGCAGAAAGGTGGCTAAGTCTGGAAGGAAATGCCGACGACTCTGGGCCTCCTGAGAACCTCCAGCCTGCTTGACGTAGTGACAGGAGGTTCAGAGCGCAGGCATCCCTGTGGACAAGCTTCTTGGGCATTAGTGAGATGGAGAACAAAGGGAGCAGGCGGAAAGGAAGGCGGGGGCTGTGCTCCTCTCTCTGGCCTGCCCTGGAGATGCTTCCAGAAGAGCCACCAAGAGGAACATACCCAAAACACTAGAAGGAATAATAGTAATTAATAATAATTTATTATTTATACCCCGCCCATCTGGCTGAGTTTCCCCAGCCACTCTGGGCGGCTTCCAATCAAGTGTTAAAACAATACAGCATTGAATATTAAAAACTTCCCTAAAGAGGGCTGCCTTCAGATGTCTTTTAAAGATAAGATAACTGCTTATTTCCTTCACATCTGGTGGGAGGGCGTTCCACAGGGCGGGCACCACTACTGAGAAGGCCCTCTGCCTGGTTCCCTGTAACCTCACTTCTTGCAGTGAGGGAACCGCCAGAAGGCCCTCGGTGCTGGACCTCAGTGTCCGGGCTGGATGATGGGGGTGGAGACGCTTCTTCAGGTATACAGGACCAAGGCCGTTTAGGGCTTTCAAGGTCAGCACCTTTAAAGTTTGCATTATAGCCCGTTATGACATGAGCAGCATCAAGTAACACAGGCCTCTGCCTGTGGTGAAGTGTCTGAGTGACAGCTGTCATTTAGTTTGGTTCATAATAATTCTCAGCATGAGATCATCTACTCTGTGATGCTCAGGTTGGTACAGTTGCTGAAATCAGGGCTAGGAGGCTTCCTTGGCACCCGATATTTCATACATACTCCACAGTCCTCCAGAGGCATCTGTGCTGCGTCCGTCTTCTCCTGTGTCCTAGAGACCCTGGTGGTCAACTTGCCCATGGCATGGGACCTTCCCCACAAGCAGACGGGACTCCTCCATGGGTCCAGGTTCAAGTCACGTAGTGTCTTCCTAAAGCCATCCCTTCTTAACGTTGGATTCTGTGCTCCTGCGCTGCATGTGTGTGTTCCCTCTTTGTTTTTCTGCCTGCAATGGTGAGCAAAGGACTTGGCTTGACTGATGGATCCTTTGATGATGGCGGGGTGGCGGGTGCAGTTGTGCCCAAGTCCTGGCGAATGAGATCCTGTCCTCTGCGAGATCCCTGAAGCGAGTTGTGGAACGGAGGAGGAGGGAGCTCCCGGGTCTTCTGGGCGCGGAGACTAAGCCCAGCCCCTTTGCTTTCCCCGGGAGAAGGGAGAGGGAGGGAAGCACCAAGAAGCCTTTTAATTAGCCGGGGAGACAGCTGAGCCGAAGGCGTTGCTAAGTGACAAGGAGCCCCTCGCCTGTCCCCGAGAGGCGCATCCCTTTCTCTTCCCTCCTCTTCTCACTTTGCCGAAGAAAAGGCTCCGTCTCCGGTTCTGCAGTCGCAGCAGCGGCGCGTCTGGATCAGAGATCTGCCTGCGAGGAACTCGGGGGAGGGAGGGGATGATCCAGGAGTGGTGATGTAATGAGCAGCTGGGGCGGTGGTTGGAGGCCAGTGGCGAAAGGATGTGCGGCCCACGGTGCTGGCTGCTGGGGTGCTCCTGGGCTCCCAAGCCCCTGTAATCGCCCCGAGGTCTGAGAGGAGCCGCCGGGGCCGGACTGCCGGGCCGGAGGACAGCGGAGGGAAGACGACGGAGCTGCAGCCATTTGCAAGATCTCCTGGACAGGCTGTGCTGCTTGGGAGTGCTGCATTGTTGTGATTGAATGGTCTAATATTCTGCCTGCCTCTTTCTCTCTCCCTCTGTCTCTGCCTTCCTCTTCTCTGTCTCTGCCTCTTATCTCCTGCAACCATGAAGCAGGCCGCAACTGCACGGAAGGTACAGTCTCTAATTCAAATGTTGCTGCTGCTGCTGCTGCTGCTGCTGCTGCTGCTGCTGCTTCTAAACCATTTTGTTTGCTGAAACGATTTTTTTTTGGGGGGGTTGTCATTTTGAGTTTGTCTCCTTCATGCGGGCATGGGGAGGAGGAGTGTGGAGCCGCTGGAAGGGGGTTGGAGACGGCACATGTGTGGATCTAAGGCGCGATGTGCTTGCATTTCATTCCCCATCTTCCTGAGTTTGAGTTCCCCTCCCTCTTCATCTCCTTGGTGTTGCATGCAGCATATATATTTTTTTACCTCCAAGCAGCCTGGAGGGCCAGTGTTGCTGCTGCTGCCGCTGCCCGGGGCCGGGGAAGAGGGGGTTGCCTGCTCTGGGAAAGTTGCCCGTGAACTGCTCTCTCTTGTCTTCTTCTCCGCCGGATCAGCCATTTTCCTCGGCTTCTCACACTTCTGGCTAATTTGACCGTCTTCACTGTCAGGAGCTTGCCCTCCTCCTTCTCTGAGGGGCATTTTGCTCTTCGGACTGCACAGTCTGTCCCCTCCGCTTTGCCCATGCCATTGCTGGGGTCTTCTGCATGCAAGGCTAAGCGTGTGAGCAGTTGAGAGGCAAATGTGCAAGTTTCCTGCCGCAGCAGGGATGCTGCGCAGCCTGGCTTACGTGACGGGAAATGTGCCCAGTGCCCGATTCTGGGCCATTGGGCTGGCCAGACTGGGGTGAGGTGCTGCTGCCTGTTGGCTATTTTGAGAGGTGCCTTTAAAATCCAGCAGAAGGGGAGCCTTGGCAGAGGCCAGCTCTTGAGGTCCTGCTCGCTGCCCCCGGTCATGCCAGGGATTCTTCTGGCGCCCACATTGCCTGGCTGTTCAGGCCTTGGGGCACCGATGCCGCTGCTTTGATGCCCTTGCTCCTGCCCTTGCCCCTATTTTGGCTAGTTTTGGTTTTCATCCATCTTGTGCTACGCTGCTGAGAGATGTTATTTATTTAAGGCGGTATAGAAATAGCTCCCAATAAATTAATGCCCCCCTGGCATTTGCGGGGCCCCCTTTAATCCTCCCTGTCCTGCTTTGGAATAAGGAGGCTTTGCACGGCTGCAGTGACGGGATTTGTTTCCTGGCAAATGCCCTTTTGGGGTGTGATGACCTCGCCTTGCATGCCTCAGGCTCCCTCGGCTTCTTCTCGTGGTCCTTCGGCGGAGGGTTATTGAACTAGGCAGGAGGCTTGGTGGACAGCGGTCACTGTAGGGGAAAGCATGCAGCTCAGCTGTTGGAAAGCAGCAGAAAGTTGATTCCAGCAGGTTTGTCCCCAGTTGCGGACTTGAGGCTGGTCCTGGAGCCATGGTAGGCAATAATATTGCAAGAAGGAAGGAAGGAAGGAGTTGTGTCAGGTGGCACAGGGAAGCACAATCAGCTCTGCTTCCAGCGCGTGCAAGTGCTAGGATACACCTTGCACCTGGACCTGGCATCCTGTGGCACTTGGACAAGGAGACCAGGCAGAGCCAGGCTGCCAGTCACCCGTCTCTGCCCTGAGGCTTCTCTTGACAGCCTCTTGCCCTGTATGCAGACAGAAAAGGCATTGCGGGGGGAGGGGGGAGAGAGAAATGCACAAGGGGCTGGGCAGAGTCCCCACGTGGCTTTTGGGTGCCTGCTCTTACTGAATTGGCATGCTCTGGTCCATGGGGTCATGAAGAGTCGGACACGACTAAACGACTAAACAACAACAACTTACTGAATTGGAGTTCCTGGCACCCCAGCTGGGATTTTCGCCCGCCCCCAGTCTAAGGAAGTAGCCTGAAGCTGTGTACATGAAAGCAGTCCTGAATTGGCCTTTCTGTGAAAGGGACATGTTGCTCCTTGGGCAATTCTTTTTTGGGGGAGTGGTGTTGGGAGCCTGAGGCATCTGCTCAAATGCAGGACCACAGAGACTGAAGGCCAGTTTTTGACCTTGCCTGCTTTTGTGTCAGGGCTCTTGCTTTTAAAGGCAGGGCAAGATGGCTGATGTAGATCCCAATTTAGCCCTGGCATGCTGGCCAGTCAGCTGATACAACAAGCCAATCTGTCTCTTGGGAAAGGCAGGCTCCTTCCTGGAGCACAAGCTTGGGAAGTCACTCCTGGGCCGCAGGAGGGAGGATGGGGCCAGGTGTGGGCCGGTGGCTTGCTTGCCTAGGCTGGGTCACCTCATCATGGTCTGGGTCTTCAAGAAAGAAAGCTAAATGGAGGGAATCATAGTTGAACTTGCAGCGTCTGCACCTGGAAAACTCATGCCCATTCAGACTGAAATGCAGCCCTTCATCCATCTCTCTCTTTTAAAATGTGTTTATTCCTTTGTGTGTCTTGAAGAAGACTGCTTTGCTCCCCAAAAGTTTCCCACTCAAGAACTATGCAAGGAACGTGAATCACGGCTTGTTGCCTGCACCACGAGAGCCTAAGATTGCGTCTTGGGTTTAATGGGTGGCTGTAGATGTCGCTGATATTCATGGACTTCATAGGTCATGGGTTGAATGCCTCGTGGAGGGCAGGATGAGGTGGGCGAAAAGGGCACCAAGCCGTTGTTGTCCTTGCGTTGGAGCGTGGCTGCAGCTGGCCTTTCCATAGCCAGAAACAGGTGGGCTGAAATCATCCGCTCTGGATGGGGAGAGCACCTGCCTCGGGTGGGGCTGGAGAGGGTGTTGCTGCGGCTGAGAGGCAGGCAGGGAGGCCGCCTTGTCCAGCCTGGGACAGGGCCGGGAAAGGCCTTGTTGCTGGTGCTCTGCTGTGGCTGCTGGGCATACATCTCCTCTTCCGAAGAGGCATTTCCTCCTTGGAGCCTGGGGCAGAGCGGCTTTTAGGGGGAGGAAAATTTGCGCAACAGCATCAGGTATTCAGATTCTGGCGCTCCACTTGCATATTGCACATCATTCCTGCTGGCTGCAACCTTTGGCTTGTCCTTGGCACACAGTTAGGCTGTTTGGTCCTGGTCCTGTAGGAGCTGCGAAGCCACGATGAGGCGGGCAAGCCACTGGCACATTGGGGGGTGGGGCGTGCTCTGTATTTTTTTAATATTTATATTAACGTGGTGCACCTGAAGCAGCAGAACCAGACGCTTTCACCTGCCTCACCTGCCAGAAAACATGTCTCTCCAGTCACAGCAGGCGCTGTAACTCTCCCGTGGTTGGACTTTACTCCCAAAGGCTCCCTCCTCCGCTGTCTCCCGAGACAGAAGGATGCCAACCGTATATGAACAAAACTTAAGCTCTGCCCTTCTGGTGCATTTATTCTGGCCGGATTGCAACCAGTGGGATCCCAGTGATGTTCTCACAATGGCCATCTTAGGGTTGGGTGGAAGTAGACCTTCCCCCCCGAGACGTAGACTGCTCTCCTTACCCACTTGGCCAAGCGCCCTCTGACTGCGTTCACCAGCCAGGAAGGACTGTGGCTTAGTGGCAGAGGACATGCTTTGCATGCCTGATGTCCCTGGTTCAGTGCCCTGCTTCTCCAGGTAGGGCTGGGGCTGAAACTCTGGAGAGCGTCTGCCAGGTGCTGGGCACAGTGCTGATCTAGATGGACCCAAGAAGGCACTTCCTTAGGCTGGTCTCACCACACTTCAGGGATCTCGCCCACATCCTTCTGTTAAAGCGGAGGCTCTCCCCCTAGGAATCCTTCCTCCATCAAGAGGGGCATTCAGCCCAGTGACTGTCCGTTAAAGGTAAAGGGTAAAGGGACCCCTGACCATTAGGTCCAGTCGTGGCCGACTCTGGGGTTGCGGCGCTCATCTCGCTTTACTGACCGAGGGAGCTGGCGTACAGCTTCCAGGTCATGTGGCCAGCAGGACTAAGCTGCTTCTGGCGAACCAGAGCAGTGCACGGAAATGACGTTTACCTTCCCGCTGGAGCGGTACCTATTTATCTACTTGCACTTTGACGTGCTTTCAAACTGCTAGGTTGGCAGGAGCAGGCACCGAGCAACGGGAGCTCACCCCGTCGCGGGGATTCGAACCGCCGACCTTCTGATCGGCAAGCCCTAGGCTCTGTGGTTTAACCCACAGCGCCACCCGCGTCCGTTAGATGGTCCCAAAGACCCTACGCAAACTGCCCAGGGCAAAGGATATGCGAGGGCAACTGTGGAGAAAGCAGCCTTGAAGTTCAGGTTTGCTACTCTCAGAGATACAGGCCACACCTGGCCTGACTCTGCAGGCACACAGGCAGGAGCTGGGAATGGAAAGAGCCTGAGCTGTGCACCCCAGAAAGTTGGCTACCAGTCCCCCCTGCTCCCCCCCCCAGCCCCAAGTTCCAGCTGAGCACTTTGTTCTTCGGAAGTTTGTTCTGCAGGGAGAACAAGGGGCGCTTGAGAGGCTGGCCTTTGCACGCTTGGCAGGACGCTCCATCTTAGCAGCAGGGGAGAAGGGACAATGCCTGACAATGGGGACTTTGTTGGCTTCCTCTTTTGCCCGGAGGCGCCAGCCTTGGCTGTCAGCAAAGCCTCTGGGCAGAGGCGGCTGGCAAGTTGGGGGCTGGAGCTCCGGGAGAGGAGGGCAGAGCAAGGGGAGGGGTAGCTGCAGCCCCCAGGGGTGTTTTGCAGGTGGCAGAGCGGCGGGGGCACCATCCTGCAGCCTTCTCAGAGCTGCACCCCCAGGATAGTTCTGCACTGCCATGTGCTGTCTCACAGTTTCAGCAAGATGGGAAGGTCAGCTGCCTCCTCCTCAATCTTGGAAGTGTCTCCTGGATCGGGGCCTTGTGGGTGTCATCAGCCTTCCCAGACCTTAATAGCAGAGCAGGGATGTCCAGCTTCCGGCCCTGGCATCTGCAGCTGGGACTCCCCTCTGCCAGGGAGCTCCTTCATGTGAGTGGAGGCGCTGAGTCCTCTGCAGGATCCGTCCCCTTTGCCCCTCTCTCTTATCTCCTGGGAAGTCAGGACGGCCTTTGACCCCCAGAGCTCCCAAGTGCCTTGAAGGCCCTGGGTAGGGTCAGCTCCAAGCTCTGGCCCGGTTGCAGGTTCCCTTCAAGCTTTCTCTGACTTCACCCGCCTCTGAAGCGAGTCTTGGCTGCTATGAAGTTTGCTGCCTCCTCTGCTTGCAGTGCTCTGTCACTTAATGGATTTCCAGGGTGGGGGGCATGGTTTTTGGTCTGCCACCCTTTCTTTTTAATTGGAAGTTCAAAAAGTACATAATTATATGTGTACTAAACATGATGAGATGCAAACGAGAGAGGAAAAAGAAAAAGAGAAACAGCACCCGTGGAGAAGGGGAAATAAAGGGGGCAGAGGAAGAAACCCAAAACTATATACAGTCGTACCTTGGTTTTTGAACAGCTTAGTTCCTGAATGCTTTGGCTCCTGAACGCCACAAACCTGGAAGTGAGAGTTCCGGTTTGCGAACTATTTTTGGAAGCCGAATAGGGCTTTCAATTGGCTGCAGGAGCTTCCTGCAGCCAATCAGAAGCCGCGCTCTGGTTTCCAAACATTTTGGAAGTCAAACGGTCTTCTGAACGGATTCCGTTTGACTTCCAAGGTACGACTGTACTTTACAAAGTTGCTATTGTACTTCACCAGATCTTAACCCGTTACAGTATTTGTAAGAATGGATTCCAAATACCATTGAATTTGTCTGCGTTTATATGCAAGTTGTTCATACGTTGCAAGTTTGTACAAGTTTTCAATCCAATCATAGAAGGGAGCCGCATTTTTATTTTTCCAATTCATCAGTGTCCGTCCTTTTGCTGTGGCAAGGGCCCCCTTGACTTCAGAGGCAGGGAGGTCTGTCCCTTGTCCAGGAAGAGGAGACCAGGCTGATCGGGGCGTCCAGCCTCGCAGCACTGGGAGGAGCCCCATCTGGACTGTGCATGAGCAGCAGCTTGGCTTGCGGGTGGGGGGGTGGGTGTCGGGGTGCCAGACTCACGGAGCTGATGGCGCGCGCACTAACCACTCTCCTGTCTCTCTTCTTCCCTCCGCACTTTGTTCTGTCCTGCCGCTGCCGCTGTGTCTCTGTGTCTCCCTGTTCCTGTCTTCCCCATCTGTCTGTCTGCCTGTCTCCTCCTCCTCTGCCTTCTGCTCCTGCCGGCCTCCAGACCACCACCAGGAGGCCCAAGGTGAGAACCGGTGGGCTTTGCGCAGCTCTTTCGAATGCTCTCTGCTGCTGAAGGGTCTGAGCCCCTCTGAGCTGACCCTTGCTACAACCTCTCTCCTCTGTGGCGGGGTAGGGGGGGCATTTCAGTATATCTCAGCCTCACCTACCTCCGTGGTTGCTGTGGGGATTATATGGGCAGGAGAACCACGGGTGCTCCCTGGAGAAACATGGGATAATGCAAATGAAAAAGCCAGGGCCTTTTCGGCCGTGGCCCCAATCTGGTGGAACGCTCTGTCCCAAGAGACCAGGGCCCTGCAGGACTGGACATCTTTCCGCAGGGCCTGCAAGACAGAGCTGTTCCACCAGGCCTTTGGCCAAGGCACAGTCTGACCCCCTCTCTCCTTCTGTAATCCTCACAGAACTCTAGCCCAATGGTTGCCATGAATTTGATTCTGAATTGATTTTAGAGTGAATTGATTTTAGAATGTATTTTAATTAATTGATTGTGATTTTATGTAAACTCTGTTACTTTTATTGTTAGCCACTCTGAGCCCGGCTTTGGCTGGGGAGGGCGGGATATAAATAAATTATTATTATTATGATTATTATTATATGACATGGCATGAGTTTCTCATCTTCTAGCAAGGAGGCCAATTTTAGTGATAAGAGGCATAGTTTGATAGACGGTAATTTCACATTTTGGGGGCTCTCTGATGTATGCTATCTGGACACAGTGACTTGGTTAATTTTCAACTTGCCCGTTGTCCCCTCCCTCTGATGTGGGCCTTCAGGTGCTCTTCCAGGCAGATTCTTGAAATGTGAGCGGGAATGTGCACCCATATCGCCATCCTGGGCCCAGAGAAGCCAACTGGGCAAATGCAGAGCAGGCCTGTCTGGAGGCAGGCGTGGGAGCAGATCCCACAAAGCCCCATATCTGCCCCTCGGCCGCTTCGATTGACAGAAGTGGCACCGCTGCAGGTGCCACATAATGCCAGTTCTGCACTTGCCATAACTTGATTATTTAGTGTGGCAGTACAAGCACTTTGGAACTCCCTTCCGGTTGAGCTCAAGCAGGTGCCTCCTTCACAGTACCCTTTTTGCCACCTGCTAAAACCAGTCTTCTTTAGACCCAGATGCTTAGAAAGTTGGAGCAATTTAAAAAGTTGAAAGTATTCTAACTTCGGGGTGTTTTGTGTTTTAAAGTGGGTTTTTCCTGATTTTCTTGTTTTATCTTTTCGTAAACCTCTTTGAGGTCCCCCTCCCTTTTGATAAAGTGGTTTATCCACTTTATGAAATAAATAAAATAAAAGACGAGCTGTGAAGCCAGCGTCCCGCTGCAGGGGAGCCTGGCTGAGCAGGACTCCAGGCTGCAGAGCTCTCAGGGGTGAGAGCACCCCAGCGCCTTCTTGGAATGACCCTTCCCTTGACAGTGTCAGGGTTCCCTTTGAACCAGGGCGGTGCCTTGATTTTAAGGCCAAGTTTCATGGCTAAGAGATTACCCCAGAGCTGGTACAGACTGCTTTTACCTTCACCACAGCCAGTCCCTATGAGTCAAGCAGGGCTTCCAAAAAATAATTGGGAGTTTTGCTGTCAAAGTAACATTTTTTTTACACACACACACACTCTCTCCTCTGCATTGCCCTTAAGTGCCAGAATCTACTCCAACTCCTGCAGATTCCTGGATTCATCAGTCCCTGTGTGTTCCTTGCAGAAGCTATGTGAGATCTGTTTCGGTTGTGCAATGCCATTGCCCCAGAGAGCAGCCCATGAGCTCTGCAAAGCCAGCGTCCTTCTAACATGCTTTTCCTCCTTCTTCTCCTTCTCCGCCCCAATGGCGGCCTTGCAGCCCACCCGGACGGCCAGCTCAGCAGCCTCCAGCGGCACAACGGGGCTCTCGGGCTCAGCTTCTGCCTCGGCCGGCGAGATGAGCAGCAGTGAGCCAAGCACTCCTGCGCAGACGCCTCTGGCTGCTCCCGTGGTTCCCACGCCGTCACTGACTTCTCCCGTGGCTCCGCCATCAATCCTGTCACCTACCAAGGTAAATGGGCCCCAGGGCCTCTGGGCGGCTTCCGGGGAGGCTGCATTGGCTCTGCTGAGCTTTCCCGCCATTTACAACTTGGGGCTTGTGGGATGAGCAGGGAGGGTGAGCTTTGGGATCCCATTGGCCTCGAAGCCGAGAGCCTCCGACAGCCCTCCTTATGTGCACAAATTCATCAGAGGCAGCCCTCGTAGCGTGGTAATCTGCAGCTCCCTTGTTGTTGGCATCTCCTGAAAGCGGGAAATTACAACAAACAAAAACAACAACAATAATAATAATAAATAATTTATTTATATCCCTCCCATCTGGCTGGGTTTCCCCAGCCACTCTGGGCGGCTTCCAACAAAGTATTAAAATACAGTAGTCTGTTAAACATTAAAAGCTTCCCTAAACAGGGCTGCCTTCAGATGTCTTTTAAAAAGAAGATAGCTGCTTATTTCCTTGACATCTGGTGGGAGGGCATTCCACAGGGCGGGTGCCACCACTGAGAAGGCCCTCTGCCTGGTTCCCCTGTAACTTGGCTTCTCGCAGTGAGGGAACCGCCAGAAGGCCCTTGGGAGCTGGACCCCGGTGTCTGGGCAGAACGATGGGGGTGGAGATGCTCCTTCAGGTCTTCTGGACTGAGGCCGTTTAGGGCTTTCAAGGTGTCCATGGGCCCAGAACCTGTCCTCAGAGTTCCCCAGCTTTCGTGAGCTGTTACGGATATTGAAATGGCTGTTCAGTTTTGATGTGCTCTCTCACAGCAACCCTCTGACTTGGAGAAATATTATTCCTACTGAACAGATGGACAGCTGAGACTAAGCAGTGAATGTGTTCAAAAGAACCACAGAATAGTAGAGTCGGAAGGGACCCCGAGGGCCATCTAGTCCAGCCTCCTGCCATGGAGGAATAGGCAGGCGGCCCATAGGGGGGTGGTACCTGCATCCTTGGCATTGTCAGCACCAGGCTGAGCCAAGCGGAGAGTCTCCAGGAGTAGGCAACCTAAGGCCCGGGGGCCGGGTGCGGCCCAATCGCCTTCACAATCCGGCCCACGGACGGTCCGGGAATCAGCGTGTTTTTACACGAGTAGAATGTGTCCTTTTATTTAAAATGCATCTCTGGGATATTTGTGGGGCATAGGAATTCGTTCATTCCCCCCCCCCAAAAAATAGTCCTGCCCCCCACAAGGTCTGAGGGACAGTGGACCGGCCCCCTGCTGAAAAAGTTTGCTGACCCCTATTTCCCAGCAGGGGATAATGGCGGTGGCCCCCCAGATTTGGCCAGAGTGCAAGTTCCCCCTCCCTTCTCTGGGGACCAAGCCTCCCCTTCCTTCTTTGACAACTGGGGGGCTTCTCTGCAATGTTTAGTTGCAGGACCACATGACATTGTCTGGATGTTACAGTTCTTGACACAGACTTTGAAAGTCTATAACTATTTGTAAGCCTGGAAAGGAAAGGTGGAACATTGCATTTCAAAAGAAAGCGCATTCCTTGTGCTAATGCTATGCGAGTGTTCCATGCTCCAAGGAGAGGCTGGTGCTTCTGTGTTACAGCAGGGATTGTGATCCAGACCCTGGAGGCGGAAGGAAGTGCCCCCTGGTGGAGAGGAGGTGGCACTGCAGCCCTTCCCGTGAGAATTGCCTTATTAGGGCTAAACTGCAAAGCATCACAGACTTGGAAGGGACTGAGGATCATCTAGTCCAACCCACTGCAATGCAGCAATAGGCAGCTGCCCCATACGGGGATCAAACCTGCAACCTTGGTGTAACCAGCTGAGCTATCCAGCTCATGTTATGCAGATGGATACTGCAGGTTAAATAGGAGTGATGTGGCAGGAGGTCTCCCCTGGTGCCAGCCAGCTGGCTCTTTCCTGCTTGGAGGTCCAGGCTTGAGCGCGCAGGGTGTGGCTTCTCATGGTGGGACCCTCCTTGCCTTGCAGGAGGAGGAGAACCTGCGCAGCCAGGTGCGAGACCTGGAGGAGAAGCTGGAGACCCTCAAGATGAAGCGGAACGAGGACAAGGCCAAGCTGAAGGAGCTGGAGAAGTACAAGATCCAGCTGGAGCAGGTCCAGGAGTGGAAGAGCAAAATGCAAGAGCAGCAGGCAGAGCTCCAGAAGCGCCTGAAGGAGGCCAAAAAGGTGAGATAGGAGATGGGCAGCCTGCAAAGCATGCTGGGAACTGAGGAGCTCTGCCTGGGGGCAGAGGGGCACCCAGCAGCGCAGGGCTTGCTCCATGCCAGGCCTTGGAAGTCTCAGAGGGTCTCCTTCCAGGGGAAGCCTCTTCCTCCTAGCCCAAGCAGCCCACACACCCTCCTTCCCCCAGCATGGTCCTTCCCCTGCTGCTCTTCAGAGGGCCTTTCCCAAGACTTGGCCCGTTAGCCTGAGATGCCGTCCTGGTTGCCGCTGGTGGCTGCCAGGCAGAAGTCTCTCGAGGGGGCCGGGCACCCAGGGTGGCTTGAGGGTGGGAGCCGCACGACCGGCCAGGCCCAGCTGCCTCCTCTCCTCCCAGGAAGCCAAAGAGGCCTTGGAGGCCAAAGAGCGCTACATGGAGGAGATGGCTGACACGGCTGACGCCATCGAGATGGCCACTCTGGACAAGGAGATGGCAGAGGAGCGGGCAGAGTCCCTGCAGCAGGAGGTGGACTCCCTGAAGGAGAAGGTGGAGTACCTCACCATGGACCTGGAGATCCTGAAGCACGAGATCGAGGAGAAGGGTGAGAGCGGCGGGGGCTCCGGGGGGGTGGCAGGAACACTGGCATCTCACTTGGTGGGTGAGCCTGCCCTCGCCCTTTCTTTCAGGGAGAAAAAGCTCTCCAAGCGGTGGAAGGGTGGATTTCTCCCAGGGCCTCACCCGGCTGGCTGCATCCTTGGGAGAGGTGCCACACTCCCTGAGCAGGGCCCGGATCCCCCACAGCAGCAGGGGCGCTGGGTGCCCTCCTAGCAGGAAGGCAGCTGAGATGCCCCTCCTCCCATAGGCTGGGTGGGGTGGCTGCCTGCTGAGCCAGAGGCCGGCCCGTTGCTTGCCAGTGAGTCAGTTGCGCCAGCTGCATCCGGTCGGGCTTTCACATGCTCCTTCCCACCTCTCTAGGATCTGACGGCGCTGCCTCCAGTTACCACGTCAAGCAGCTGGAAGAGCAGAATGGCCGGCTGAAGGAGGCGCTGGTGCGGTAAGAACACAAGCATGCGACACACACACACACCTCCACGTCAGGCACACACCGCCCGGTGTCCTGGTTCCTGCAGCCTCTGAAGGCAGGATCCTGTCCCACCCTTCCTGGGTCTGTGGCGTGAGCTGTTTCTGTTGCCCAAGGAAGGCGACCCACTCCCAGAGAAGCTTCTCTCTTTTGAACTGGGCCCAGGCACACCAACACCAACCCACAAAAACATTAAATCTTATTACATATTACATATATCCTACTTGGTGTTCTTAAATCTCAATAAAAAGCATTGGGGGGGGGAATGAACTGGGCCCAGGCTTGTCTGAGGATATTTCAAGGGGGGGGGAGAAGCCTTTTCTAGCAGGTGCCCCCCCTCTTTCCCCATGCCAGCGTCCTGCTCCTCCTTCTCCTGTCTGGCTTGGGAGGGCCTTGGGGTGGCTCTGCTGCCCTCCCATCCTGGGGGCGCATGACTCTGAGCCACCCTCTCTCTCCCCCTCCGGCCTCGGCAGGATGCGGGACTTGTCTGCCTCCGAGAAGCAGGAGCACGTCAAGCTCCAGAAGCACATGGAGAAGAAGAACACGGAGCTGGAGACGCTGCGGCAACAGAAGGAGAAGCTTCAGGAGGAGCTGAAGCAGGCGGAGAGGACCATCGACGAGCTGAAGGAGCAGGCATGTGCGCCCAGGGCCAGGCAGCCCCGCCTTGATGTCCCCATCAAGCCTTGTGCTCAGCTGCGCTTGGGGGTCGCTGGGGAGAAGGGGGTGGGCTGGAGGCTTCCACCCCTGGCCAGGATCCCAAACAGGGAAGTCGCGTACTATGGCCTCTCAGGAGCATTCAACACCTGCAGTTTCAACTGTATGCGGTTGCAGGCTGACTGGTTGAGCTTTTACACTCTCTGCCTTGCTTGCTGGGAAAAGCCCCCTCAGCACGTCGGCTCTGGAAGGTTAGGGATGCTCACAAAGGAGCAGTTTGAGTATAGAGGCTTAGCTCTCTTTTAAGATCCATTTCAGTAAGTTGTTTTGTCTTGGTTGCTTGTAAATGCCAGCTGCCTTGCTTCACTCTGTGAGAAAAGTTGACTAACAAGCATAACCAATAATAAGGAAGGTGACAATGGTCAGAGCTCAGCCTTGGTTTCTGGGGCCGGGCTCCCTCTTCTCTCCAGGGCAGGGGCTGGGATGGGGAGGCTGTGCCCGGATCGCTCCAGGTCTGGGCCCAACCCTGTGTCCTTTCTCGCAGGTGGATGCTGCTCTGGGGGCTGAGGAGATGGTGGAGACGCTGACCGAGAGGAACCTGGACCTGGAGGAGAAGGTCCGGGAGCTTCGCGAGACGGTTTCAGACCTGGTGAGATTGAGGGGGCGGAGGAGCAGGGAGGGGAGAAGGCTGGCTTTTGTTTTATCTGCCTCGTGGCAAGAGGGAGTGGGGCCTCTTGCATGTCTCTCCCCAGATGCTGCCGTGGCCCACAGGCAGGCTGTGGGGTGCCCTCCTCATCCTTGTCGCTGCTGCTGGTCAGTCAGTCTTTGGCCACCAAGGGCCTCCTGCTGTTGCGTCCTCCATGTTCACCCCCCACGCCCTTCCCCCTTTCCAGGAAGCCATAAACGAGATGAACGATGAGCTTCAGGAGAACGCCAGGGAGACAGAGCTGGAGCTGCGAGAGCAGCTGGACATGGCGACTGCCCGGGTGCGAGAGGCGGAGAAGCGCGTGGAGGCGGCTCAGGAGACGGTGGCCGACTACCAGCAGACCATCAAGAAGTATCGGGAGCTGACTGCGCACTTGCAGGTGCTTGCTGTGGGGGGAGGAAGGCGGGGCGCAGAGCAGGCCAGGCTCGGGTGATGGAGGACAGCCTTGCGGGAGGGATGACGGGCTCCTGCCCCTTTTGGAGGGCACCTGGCCTCCTCCCCCAGCGAAAATGTCTGTGCAAGGGCAAGACTTTGTTTCCAAGCGCATGAGAGGGACAGGCGAGCATCAGCGCAAGGAGCCTTGTGTGGAACAGGAACTGGAGAGGCCACACGTGGGTCTCCTCTTTCCAGGCTGCCCCTCGGGCCAAACTTCTCCTGCACTGGGGCCAGGAGGCGATAAGGTGCCACAAAATCTCTATGCACCTATATGTGCTCTCTCCCTCTCCGGTTCCTCCTTGAGCCATGCACTCCTCCTCCTCCTCCTTGAGCCATGCACTTCCCAGCATGCCTCACTCCTGCTCTCCCTGTTCCAGGATGTTAACCGGGAGCTGATGAACCAGCAAGAGGCCTCTGTGGAGAGGCAGCAGCAGCCTCCGCCTGAAATGTTTGACTTCAAGATTAAATTTGCGGAGACCAAAGCTCACGCCAAGGTATGCTCAGCTGGAGACCAGCAGGGATAGGCTGGGGGGGGACAGGGAAGGGGGAGAACCCCATTTCCCATCCCAAACCCATGTTAGAAATTGAAGAGCTGGGGCCAGGAAGACACGCTTGAGCTAGTCTTAAAGCAGTGCTTCAAAATAATGTTACAGATAGTTTCAGTTCAGACAGACGACCTGTTTTCTGAAGTCTGTGAACCTGAAAGTTCAGACTTGATTTTTCAGAAACCAGTTCTGATTAGAATAGTAACCTTGAATGAGGCTTGTATTTTCGAGAATAGTTTACTAGGTTGCAGCAGGATATCAGTAAAACAAATAAATACAGGTTCAGGGTAGTCTGCCAGGGCTCCTGGGACACCTTCAGGCTCATCTCAGACGCGATTGTGGAGTCCAGAGCAAAGCCCCACTGGCACAAATGGTGGAGTAGCAGCGGTGGGAGACATCTCGGAGAGTCTAGGGGTTTTGTGGGGTGAGGCCTTCCGAAAGTAAAGGAAGGAGTGGACTCTGATAATAAAATACACACAGAGGCTTGAGCCAGCAAGACTCTGGGAGGAGTGCGTATAATAATAATTCCTCTCCACCCTCCGGCCCGGGTCGTTTTATTCACAAAATCTGATTGGTTCTTACGAACACTGTGTAAAGTGTTCGGAAGTACCAATCAGATTTCCTCTGAGCATTTCATAAAAACCCCACATGGGAACAAAGTTAAAGTTAAAACTACAAAGAGCTAATTTCCTACTTGAGCATGCATATGCAATTCAGAGTAAATAAAAGAGGAAGCAAAGAGGAAGCTTTTAGGAAGGTCATAAACAGGAGAGGGCGGAAGGATGGCAAGGAAAAAGTATTCACCATCTCCTGTGAACTCTCTTCCTGGCCCCTAAGATCTATCTAAAGATTAAACTACATCAAGGTAACCTACGATCTTTATGTACTGAGGATGCCTGATGAAGCAACTGGCAACTGGTGGTGTAGTGGTTAAGAGCGGTGGACTTGTAATCTGGTGAACCGGGTTTGCTTCCCCGCTCCTCCACATGCAGCTGCTGGGTGACCTTGGGCCAGTCACACTTCTTTGAAGTCTCTCAGCCCCACTCACCTCACAGAGTCTTTGTTGTGGGGGAGGAAGGGAAAGGAGAATGTTAGCCGCTTTGAGACTCCTTCGGGTAGTGATAATGTGGGATATCAAATCCAAACTCCTCCTCCTGGGCTGTGTACATGACTTGTCAAGCAAGAGAAATAGGACAGGGAAGCAGAGGCGTGGATTGATGAAAAATCATATCAAAATGGCTCAAACCCAGTCAACGCAATGCTTTCATTGCTGACACAAATGGCTTGCTCCATATTTTTTCTAATTCCTCATGGCAATCCCACCTAATCACTGCAGTGGGGTTCCTGCTCTCCTGTGCCGCACTCACACGTGGGGCCTGGAGGTGTTCCTGGTGCCGCCCCCAGGTGTCTCTTGCAGCCCTGAGAGCCAGAGAACGGGGGTGTTCAATGGGCTTCTCTCGGTCCCCCTCCAGGCCATCGAGATGGAGCTGCGCCAGATGGAGGTTCACCAGGCCAACCGCCACGTCTCCCTCCTCACCTCCTTCATGCCGGACAGCTTCCTGCGTCATGGCGGGGACCACGACTGCGTCCTGGTGCTGCTGCTCATCCCACGGCTCATCTGCAAGGTAGGCTGCGAGCGACTGGAGGGGGTGGTGGTGTCGCCACGTCTTCCTTTCCAACAGAAACACGCCAACCACAAATGATTTAGGTCAGTAAATAATCAGGTTTTTGCTAGTCTGTTTCCTACGGAAAAAATTACGTTGTCTGAAATTTCTCACCTGAACCTGAATAATTTTTACAGTCATACCTCGGGTTAAAGTTGCTTTAGGTTGAGCGTTTTCAGGTTGCACTCCGTGGTGACCCAGAAGTAACGGAATGGGTTACTTCCGGGTTTTTCCACTCGCGCATGCGCAGACGCTCAAAATGATGTCATGCGCATAAGCGGTGAGTCGCAACCTGCGTACGCACAGACACACAGGCGCAGGTTGCATTCTGCTCAGGATGCGAACGGGGCTCCGGAACGGATCCTGTTCACATCCAGAGGTACCACTGTATACTTTTTTAAACACTACCCAGTAGCATATATGGTTGCAGAAAACCTTCAACCTTCACATTACAATAGATTACAAAAATATATCAAGTGGTATTCAAACTAAGTTTTGCTCAGAATAGACCTGTTGACTAAGTTAGGACAAGGGACTCTGTTCAGAATAAAACTTAATTCAACACCAGTTTTACTTTAAAAAAAAACATTATTATTTAACTCTCCTCCTTCCCTTACAGGTGAATTAATTTTACCATACATCCCACATCCCAAATTCTCAGCAACCAGGTGCTCACTCTCCCCCCCTCCCCCGTTACAACTCAGGGCTATACTATCTGCAGGAAAAGATAAATTAGCATTTCTAATCCTACCCCCCCCAACCCAATAGATTTTACAAAGCAAAATAATACAACCACATCATCTAACATCAAAATAGGCTTGGTCTTCTCTCCTGTGGTTTCCTGCAACTGGTATTATTCAGCAGCATTTTGTATCTCTGACTGTGGAGGCAGAGCAGAGACTTGTTGTTGTTCAGTTGTTTAGTCGTGTCCGCCTCTTTGTGACCCCCTGGACCAGAGCACGCCAGGCCCTCCTGTCTTCCACTGCCTCCCACAGCTTTGAGAACACTGTCCCACCATCTCGTCCTCTGTTGTCCCCTTCTCCTTGTGCCCTCCATCTCTCCCAACATCAGGGTCTTTTCCAGGGAGTCTTCTCTTCTCATGAGGCGGCCAAAGTCTTGGAGCCTCAGCTTCAGGATCTGTCCCTCCAGTGAGCACTCAGGGCTGATTTCCTTCAGAATGGAGAGGGGAGATGTCTCTGCTTTTTAAGATGCTGTCTAGGTTTAGCATAGACTAGTAGGCACCAAAAGCCCTCTCTTCCAGGAATTGCTTGAATCCTCGTTTAAAGGCGTCTCAGTTGTTGGCCATCACTGCCTCCTGCGAGAGGGAGCTCTGCAGTTTTAGGTCTGCACTGTGTGAAAAGGGCCTTTCCTTTATCCCAGATAATACTGGAGCGATGCCGTGGGGTGGGGCATGCTGAGCCTCTGACACCTCCCCTCCCTCTCTCTCTTGGAACAGGCCGAGCTGATCAGCAAGCAGGCCCAGGAGAAGTTTGAGCTGAACGAGAACTGTGCCGAGCGCGCTGGCCTCCGGGGGGCGCCAGGGGAGCAGCTGAGCTTTGCTGCCGGGCTGGTGTATTCCCTCAGCCTCCTGCAAGCCACTCTGCACAAATATGAGCAGTAAGTCCTCCGGCCCGGGGGTCCCTGGGGTCCCCCTGAGAGGGTGGCTTCTGTGCCCCCTCCTGCCTGAGCCTGATGGCCCCAACCTCTCTCGCCCCCCCTCTTGCTCAGGGCCTTGAACAAATGCAACGTGGAGATCTACAAGAAAGTGGGGACCCTGTACCCCGAGATGAGCGTGCACGAGAGGTCCCTGGACTTCCTGATTGAGCTGCTGCACAAGGACCAGCTGGATGAGACCGTCAACGTCGAGCCCTTGACCAAAGCCATCAAGTACTATCAGGTGAGGGGCCCTGCCCCCCAGGACCACAGCAAGGGGAGCCCGCGTCACGCTGATTTATGCTGGGAAAGGGGGGTGGGCATTTCATGAAATCCTCTAGCCCCACCTCCTGGCTGCCCTCTCTTAATTTTGGCCAGGCACTCCCCCCCCCAAAAGGTAAAGGGGCTGTTCCCCCATCCCCATAATTCAAGCCCTGGCTGCGCCTCCCCCCAGTGCCAGGAAAAGACTGAGAGTGTGGAGCGGCTGGGGCTCCTTTAAGAGCCCAGGGCCGCCAGGCCTGCTTCCCAGGAGGGCTGCCTGCAGAGTCCGGTCCCGCCATGCTGCTGCGCTGGTTTGAAAGAGGGTGGGGCCCTTGTGTTTGCTGCAGCTCTCCTGGTGGTGGCAAGATCAACAGAGGGCAAGGCTGGCATGTTGGGGGGGGGGCAAGGCCCTCTGGCGCTGCCTTGGCTCGTGGCTTTGGCTCAGCAGCAGAGGTGCCCCCCCCTCACTGTTCCTCCTCCTCTCCCTTCCAGCACCTGTACAGCATCCATCTGGCTGACCAGGCGGAGGACTGCACTATGCAGCTGGCTGACCACATCAAGGTGAGCAGGTGGTGTTTGTGGCTCTCCCCGTCTCCTCATTGGCTGAAAGAGGCAGAGACCGGCCCCCAAGGTCGCCAGTGAGCTTCGTGGGGCAGTGGGGGGGATTCGAACCCTGTTCTCTCCCAGCTCTCTCTCTCTCTCTCTCTCTCTCACACACACACACAGTGCTTTTTTCTTAAAAAATGTTTAGGGACACTCTCATTTTCCTACTCACATTGAAAAACTTCTCCTCAATGAGGCCAAACTTAAATTCACAAAATGTTTAGGGGTATGCGTCCCCTTGTGTCCCCCCAGAAAAAAGTTCTCTCTCTCCCTCTGTGTGTGTTTCAGAACAATCACACACAAAAATTATGGAGTGAAACCATGCTGTATTCAGAACCCCTCAAAATCAGTCCCCCCTCCCCAGAGAGCTTGACATCATCGGCCCCATCCCAAGCCACATCTTCCTAGGCCTTGGCTGTCCTGCGCAGGCCCAGGTAACGGTGCCTTTGCTTGCTTGCAGTTCACCCAGAGTGCCTTGGACTGCATGAGTGTGGAGGTGGGCAGGCTGCGGTCCTTCCTGCAGGTAAGCCCATCCGCCCCCCGCCCCCAGGCGGCAGCCAGGTGGGGGTCTCCTTGGCGAGGCTGCTTGCCCCAGCCGTGGGTCCTGACGTTGCCCTTCTTCCCGCTTTCAGACCGGGCAGGAGGTGTCCGATTTTGCCATCCTCCTGAAGGACCTGGAGACCTCCTGCAGCGACATCCGGCAGTTCTGCAAGAAGATCCGGCGCCGCATGCCTGGCACCGACGCCCCCGGCATCCCTGCAGCGCTCGGCTTTGGACAGCAGGTGGGTCGCCCGGCCTGGGACAGAGAGCTGGGCTTCCAGCCCCCTTGAGGGAGTAACGTGCCCCTTTCCCCGAAGCTGAGCACATGGCCGCCTCTTGACCCTGCTCTGATCTCCCAGGTCGCAGACACGCTGCTGGATTGCCGCAAGCACCTGACGTGGGTGGTGGCTGTGCTGCAGGAGGTGGCGGCTGCAGGGGCTCAGATGATTGCCCCTCTGACGGAGAACGAGGGTCTCCAGGCCGTGAAGCTGGAAGACCTGGCCTTCAAGGCCAGCGAGCAGGTAAGGGGCCTCTGCTGCATTTGGCTGCGTCTGTCAGTGGGCAGAGCAGGATCCCCTGGAGAATCACCGGGGGGGGGGGTGTGTGCGGCTGCTGCAGGTTTGCAGGGTTAAATCCTGGCTCACACACAGCTACTAATTGATTGATTGATTATTGCACTTGTATCCGCCTTTTTCCTCCAAAGAGCTCAAGGGGGCGTCCGTGATTCTCCCCCTCCCCATTTTGTCCCCACAAGGATCCTGTGAGTGTGTGGCTGGTCTGGAGTCACCCAGGGAGCTTCCTCGCTGAGCAGGGATTTGCTCGCTGGCCTCCCAGGTCCTAGATGGATGCTCTAACCACTACACCCCCACTGGCTCCAAAGTATTGCTGCTTGGCTCCCTTGAGCAGTTGCCTCGGTAGTGGACTGGATGAGAGCCAACAAACTGAAGCTCAATCCAGATAAGACGGAGGCCCTGTTAGTGGGGGGTTTGCTTCCCTAGACCGGATGGCTGAGAGGTCACTTGCCTTCATGGGGTCACACTTCCTCTGAAGGAACAGGTTCGTAGATTGGGGGTCCTCCTGGATCCTTTGCTGTCGCTCGAGGCTCAGGTGGCCTCAGTGGCCCGGAGTGCCTTCCATCAGCTTCAGCTGGTGGTCCAGCGATGCCCCTTTCTGGACAGGGATGGCCTAACTACTGCTGTCTATGCTCTCAAGGTTAGATTACTGCAATGCGTTCTACATAGGGCAGCCTCTGAAGATGGTTCAGAAACTTCAGCTAGTGCAGAATTCAGCGGCCGGGTTGCTCACCAGAGCAAGACTTATTTGAGCACATTACACCGATCCCGGTCCGACTGCACTGGCTACCAGTCAGTTTCCGGGTCAAATTCCAAGTGCTGGTTTTGATCTCCGAAGCCTTAAACTGTTCAGGACCGCAATACCGCAAGAACCGCCTCTCCCCATATGAACCTACCTGGGTCCTGAGATCATCTTCTGAGGCCCTTCTACATGTGCCTCCTCCTCAAGAGGTGCAGAGGGTGGCAACATGAGAGCAGGGCCTTTTCTGCAGTGGCTCCCTGTCAATGGATTTCTCTCTCCAGGGACGTTTGCCTGGCACCTTCATTATATGCCTTTAGGCGCCAGGCAAAAACGTTCCTCTTCAACCAGGCCTTTGATTGATTTGATTGACATCCGGTGCCTTTTAAACTGTGGTGTTATTTGGGGGGGGGTGTTATTGGGTTGTTGTCTTTATTTTGATTGTGTATTTTGTGGTTTTATATTTTGGTTTTGTCCTGTGAACTGCCCTGAGACCTCCAGGTATAGGATGGTGTATAAATTCAATAAATAATAATAAAATGATAATAATTGGACAGCACTATGGGGGCTGAGGGGCTGTTGGGCTAAGGAACCTCCCTCTGCACCTCCTCAGTACAGAGATCCTGGAAGCTCCCCTGCTCTCCCAACTGGGCCAGGCCTGGCCTTTCTCCCCGGTTCTCCCCAGGCCTGGGGAGGCTGGCCCCTTCCTCTTCCGTTGCTGCCGATTAGGGCTGGGGAGCTCCCTGCAGACCTCAGCCCGGGATCAGCGCCTCCGAGGGACGTGCATTGGCATCCTCTGGACCTGCCCAATTCTCTTCCAGATCTACGGCACGCAAGGCATCAACCCCCACGAGTGCCTGCGGCAGTCCTGCAACATCCTGATTGCCACCATGAACAAGATGGCCACGGCCATGCAGGAGGGCGAGTACGATGCAGACAAGCCTCAGGCCAAGGTGAGCCTGCGCAGAGAGAGGGCAGAGAGAGCTGGCCTCACCCGCCAGCCGCCAGCCAGGCACTTGCGGGCAGATTCCCCCGGCTGGTGCTTGGCTAACGGGGCCAGCCTATTGGTTGGGAGAGGGTGTCTGTGCCCCAGTGAAAGCCACTCCTTTTCCAGCCCCATTTTAAATTGTTGGGTGGGCTCTCAGGTGGGGGGGGGTTCTTCTTGCAGGAGCCTCAGAGGCAGGGGGGCAGCTACTGTGGGAAGGAGGAAGCTTGCCTCCATGCTGGGACCCCCTTGGTCTGCTTCCTCGCACTGCCTTCCTTGCAGCTGAATCCTTTGAGGAGGAAGGAAGGTGTGGGGCCTTCCCCTGGCCTTGGGAGGGGTTCATTGCATGCTCTGTGTCTCGAGACGCCTCCCAGAACCTGGTCCATGTCTGAGCAACCCAACACGGGCTCCTCTTGCAGTCTCCTCCTCCGGTGGATCTGCGGGCAGCCGCCTTGCGGGCGGAGATCACAGATGCTGAGGGTCTGGGGCTGAAGCTGGAGGACCGAGAGACGGTCATCAAGGAGCTGAAGAAGTCCCTCAAAATCAAGGTGAGTGAAGGAGCTGCCTCTCCCCGGGAGCAGGTGGGGCTGGGAAGGCTCTGCCACGGGGAGGGGGCCCAGTCTCCCAGGGGGCTGCTCCAGAGGTGGGTGGCCCTGCTCCTGCTGCCTGGCTCCAGAGGACATGGAGCGTCAGCGGAGAAGAGCTCTTGGGGTCCTCCTGAGGGTGCCCCGTCCCCAGAGGCCTGGCAGTCCTCGTTCCCACAAGCGCCCTCCCTCCCGCTGCCTAGGGCGAGGAGCTGAGCGAGGCCAACGTCCGCCTGAGCCTCCTGGAGAAGAAACTGGACAGCTCCTCCAAGGACGCGGATGACCGGGTGGAGAAGATCCAGACCAAGCTGGACGAGACCCAGGCTCTGCTGAAGAAGAAGGAGAAGTAAGCGGGAGGCGGGGAGTGGAGGAGGAAGTGGGGTGTCCTCTGAGGATTGACAGATGTAGGAGACGCTGGCTGGCATCTTCTGGGCCAAACTCACATCCTCTTGTGTCCTCTGAGCTTGCCTACACACAGATCGGGTCTTGCCAGGCGTCGCCAGGGCTCTGTGGGCTCTGTGTGCCCAGGAATTTCAAGACCAAGACTGGATCTGCTCCCTGGCACAGCACCTGGCATCCTGGAGACCTCGGCCTTCGCTTTCTGTGTCCCTTGTGGTGGTGGAGCTTGGTTTCAGACAGCTTCCCCATCCCCTCCTTGTCCGCCTTCCTCTGCCCCCTTCGCTCTGCTCTTTTGCCCAAAGGTCAACTGGGGCTGTTTGATTTCTGGACACTGCTGGCATCCACGAATGACCCAGACAGACTTAATGGGCAGCTCAGCTCTGGCCTTGAGATGCACATGGCTGTGTGCTCACACCCAGAGAAGTTTGGGACTGATTGGCGTTGTTTCCTGGCAAAGGGTGGGGAGGGTCCCACAGCTCAGTGGTAGAGCCTCAGTCCCCAGGCAGGGCAGGTGGGAGAGAACTCTCTCTGAAGTCCCAGAGAGCAGCTGCCAGCCAGTGTAGTGATGCTCAGCTGGACCAGTGGTCTGGCTCAGAATAAGGCAGTTTTGTATGTTTTTATAAATGGCAAAGGAAATGATGAAGGGGGGGAAGGGATGCCGGGGGCTCCAAACTGGGAGGGGGAGCTAATACCTCAGAAGGGAAACCCAGCCAGATGGGCGGGTAGAAATAATAAATTATTATTATTATTATTATTATTAAAGGCAGAAACAGGATTCAATATGAGCACAGCAGATTGGAGAACTGGGCCAAAACTAACAAAATGAATTTCAGCAGGGACAAATGTAAGGTTTTATGCTTAGGCAGGAATAATCAGATGCTTGGGGAACACCTGACAGCAGTTCATGTGAAAAGGATCTCAGGGTCTTCACCTGAGTCCACAGGGTGAGGCAGCAGCAAAATAAGCTAATGCTCTTCTCGGCTGCATCAACAGAAGTCGAGTGTCCAGATCAAGGGAAGAGTTCCGCTCTCTTCTGCTTTAGACAGACCCTGCCTGGAATACTGTGTCTCGTTGCTGAAGGCCGGCCAGAAGGGCAAGCCAGTCAGATGGGCGGCATGTAAATAATAAAATAATTTTCAAAATTATTAGCTCTGGGCATCACAATTTAAGAAGGACGTTGACAAGCTGGAACGTGTGCAGAGGAGGAGGGCAACCTAGAAGGGTCTTGAGTTCCTCTGTATCTTTCTCCCTCCGCAGGGAGTTTGAGGAGACGATGGACGCCCTGCAAGCAGACATTGACCAGCTGGAGTCCGAGAAGCAGGAGCTGAAGCAGCGGCTCAGCAACCAGTCCAAGCGCACCATTGAGGGCCTCCGTGGGGTCGGTCCCTCGGGAGTGGCTTCCGTCATCTCTGGCATCACCGGAGGTGAGCCCTCGGAAGCGTGTGTGGATGCTTTGGGGCGGGGAGACTGCAGGGGAGAGACGCCCCGAGAGTCTTGGGGTGCTGGAGGGCCAGCAACTCCAGAGAAGCTGATGGACGCAGGGGCTGGAGGAACCTCCTGGACCCCCTGCCTGCCGGTTGTTCCTTCCTTGTTGCTGGTGCAGCCCTGGGCAGCACAGGTTGCTCCCTGCTCCCCCTTTATTTCCACTTCCTCCATTTCCCAGCAAGAATCTCCCCACCCTCCTCTTTTTCCCTTCCCTTGCTGATCCAAAAGAGCCAGGGATTTGGGGAGGGAGGCTCTAGGGTCTAGGGCTTGCACTGCCGAGTGCTGACGCGCTCACAGCCACCGGCCTCAGAAGCCCTTTCCCACTGCAACTCCTGCTTGGAGCGCTGCAGAGGCGATGCACAGAGGATCACTTCGCCACCTTTGCCCAGAGCTGCAAAATTCTGCCCTTTTGGATGGTGAATCTCAAATCCAAACTCACGGAGATCCACGGGGTTCTTTAGACCGCGAATCTCAGAGTTCTGAGGCCTGCTGCAGGGGATGTTCCAGACTGGAGTGGCTGTCTCTAGGGAGGGGTTTGCTTTGAGCTGAGGGCACCGGACTCACATTCACATGCCGCACTGCCTTTCAGAGATCTCTACCCATTAAAAGAGGGCTGATCTGCTCAAGCTGCGCTGGGCTTGGGAGGGTCAACCAGTAAAGCTTCTGCACCTGCTTGTGGGTTCCCTCGTGCTGGTGCTGCTCTCTTTTCGTTCAGTGATTCACACGAGCTCCTTCTGGGTCTTTTTTCTCCCACATGCCCCGGGGGGCTGTGTGAGCTTCCTCCAAACCTGGGGGGGGGGCTATTGTTTTTTCCTGAAGGGCTACAGAGCAAGGGAGCCCCGCTGGCATGCTTGGGCCAGGGCTCTGGGTAGATGGTGTCCCAGTGCCCTTGAGAAGAGGTGGCCCATCGTGGCTCACAAAAGCAGGTTTGTCGTGTAGTCCAGAGAAGCAAACCCAGAGGGGAGCTGCTGCTGCTGCTGCTGCTGCTGTCTTTCCTGACTTCTCTCAGACGCCTCTCCTAATTTCTGCTCCTTCTCGTCTCTTCCATGCTTCCGCTGCAGAGGAACAGCAGAGAGGTACAGTGGCATGGCCCAGGGGGGGCTGCTGGGGCCAGGAATCTCCCGAGGACACAAGGGGGACTGAGGCTGCCTTTGGGGGCAGAGGGGAATCTGTGACGGCTGCGAGAGTTGTTGCCCCCTATTCCCAGCCTGAGGTGGTTTTTGTGTGTGCCAAGGAAGGGGTGTGTGGATACAGCAAGGTCGCATGCCAGGGTGCAAAGCATGTGTGTGACAGAACATTTCTCCAGCCCGCCCATCCTCTGCTGCAAATGTCTCGTCACACCCCGCCCCCCGTGCTTGGAAATGAGCCAGGCTCTGGGAGGCTGGGCTGGGCCTCAAGGGGTCTGGCCACAGGCAGCCCAATTTGAGCGCCTCCCTAAGGAAGCACGGTGAGGCTGAAGACCTGTCTTGGTCCCCCACATGCATGAGGTGGGGGCTCTTTCTGAAGAGTGTTTGGCATGTTGTTGCATATATTTGTACAAAACTGCGTTTTCTGCCTCTGGCTGCATGTTCCTGTGTGTTTTCCTGGGCCTTCAGCTCTTGTCTCCTCCTGGGCTCAGCTCAAGTCTTGTGGTGCCCTGATGCGGGCACATCCTGCCTTTCCCTGACCATTGGCAGAGCAGCTCTTGTGCCAGGATGCAGGTGGGAGGCTCCTTCTGTGAGCTCCCCATGGAGCAGTCCAGGCATGTGCTGCGCAGGGGCATCTTCTGGAAATCTGCTCTTCTCTTTGCAGGTGTGGGTGCTGGCCAGGTGATGATGGCCGGCTCAGGCCCTGTGCAGGTCAAGGACTCCCCTCTCCTCCTCCAGCAGATCGATGCTATGCAGCTGTCCATCAAGCATCTCAAGAACGAGAACAACCGCCTCAAGGTGAGCGGGGGGGTGTGTGGCTTTCCTGCTTGCAGCTCCAGCCCAGCATTCCCTGGCCGGAGGGAAGGAGCCCTGCAGGCGGGGGGGGGGGAGGAGCAGAGAGGGGGGTCTCTGAGGCTGATGCCTGCTGTGAAATGGACAGAAGAAGCAGCAGACTCTGGGATGGAGCCCCATTGCCCCACACTTTTGCTCCCCGCAGGCTGTGGCACCCCAGCCACCCTCACCTTTGTGGACATTATATTGTTGCTGTTGTTGTTGATATTATTGCTGCTGCTGTTGTTATTTATTAGTATACCGCTCTTCCTCTGTAGAGCTCTGGGCACTTCACAGCATAAAAATACAAGACAGAAACACAAAATACATTATAAAAACATAACACACCCCAGGAATCCCAGGCACCAAGGAAGATCTGTCAAAGGGAGACTTCCTTCCTTCCTTCCTTCCTTCCTTCCTTCCTTCCTTCCTTCCCTCCCTCCCTCCCTCCCTCCCTCCCTCCTTCCCAGCTCCCTTTCCACACGCCTCTCTTCCATGTTGCTTCACAACCCCTCCCTGCACAATTTGACCTCCTGCATCTCTGGTTCTGTCCTCCTTTGTCGTGGAGGGAGTGCGAGGAATGCCTGGGCTGGTTTGGGGGCCAGGCGTGAAAGGAACAGACTCTTCCTGGAGATCCAAGCAGATTTTTATTATTGTCTTTGTTTTTAAAGGATCTTTTAATCATACATTAATTCTGTCAGTGTTTTAGCTCTTTTTTTAATGAATGTATTTTCTATGTTTTTAGCTTGTTTTATTCAATGAGTAAGCCACCTTGAGTCCTGGGCTGGGAAGAAGGCAGGATATAAATTCATGTCATAATCAATACAATAAGCTGCCCAGAGCAACTGCTTTTTGGGGGTGGGGGTGGTCTAGTGTGGCTGGAGGTTGCTTGTGCCCATTTTCATTTGATTGTGTGTGTGTGTGTGTGTGTGTGTGTCAAAGTGGCTGGCTTGAGCCCTTCTATTCCTCCTCCTCCTCCTCTCCAGGGAGCCCAGATGAGGCGGGAGCTGGCCTCGCTGACCCCGCTGCGGGTGCCCAAGCTGTCTCTCGCCAAGGATAGGCAAGGGGAGGAGGTGGTCTCCAGCTCTCTCTACCGCAAGACCAGCCAGCTGCTGGAGACCCTTCACCAGATGAGCGCCAACACCAAAGTGGTGGACATCACGCGGCAGAGGACAGGTGCGCCTGGCGGGGGCTGGGAGGGGGCAGCGGGAGAGCTCAGCCTCTCCATCCCTGCGGAGCGTGCCCTTGCAGGGTGGGGAGGGGCAGCAATAGCAACGCCTTTTCCGTCTCTCTGTCCTCCCCGCAGCCACCAGCCCAGCAGCCCAGCTCCTGGAGCAAATGACCCGCCTGAAGTCACTGAGCGAAACCATCGACAAACTGAAGGTAACCGAGGCCTCTGGCCGTCATCTCCTGTCCCGGGCAAGAGCCCTTCATGGTGGAGGGGGTGGGAGTGGCACTGGGGGCCTGAACCAGAGACTCTGGCCATTGGCAACGTGCCCAAGAGCAGGCTCTGTCTCTCTCGCTGGCAATAAGCTGCTCAGGGCCCTGTTCCCTGGAAGAAAGGGAGGGGCGACATCAGAGGTTGCTCAGAGAGGGGAGGGGGGACGTGAGAGCCCCCCAAGGCCGCTGCATGGTGGCTGTTCCAGGGCTGTGTCGCTTCCTCTCCTGAGCAGCCAGGATGGGAATACAGGGGCTTGGGCTGGACGGCCCTGACTGCGCTTCCTTCCTGCAGGATGAAGTCCTGAAGGAGACTGTCCTCCAGCAGCCCGGAGCCAACGTCCTGACCGACTTTGGCACCTTCCCCTCAGCCCCCTTCCTCAAGGTGAGCGCTTGGGCCTGGGCAGGGCAGCGGGGGGAGGGAGTCCTCTTGGGCCGCCCCCCTGACTCTCCCGCCTGCTCTGCTTTCCCCTCCAGGCCAAAGAGGAGCAGAAGGACGACACCGTCTACATTGGCAAAGTGACCTTCCCCTGCCAGCCGGGCCACGGCCAGGTCCACAAACTGGTCCTGACGCCTGAGCAGCTGCACAAGCTCCACGCCCGCCTCATCTCCTAAGAGGGTCTCCCCCCCCCCCGCCCCCTTCCGCCACTGCCTCTCCTCCTACAAGATGCACACTAAATATGCAGACTCTTGTTTGTGCAAGGCCCTCCTGGCACTGCCGACTCTCTGAACGACCTGTGTTTGTCCTGTGCGCCTCCCTCCTCAAACTGGGCAGGCAACTCTGCCCGCAATGACCACTGTCCTCCTTCCCAGCTCTCACCCTCTCCCTTAGCGATGGCCACTGCTCCTTCGTGGCTCTCAGGCCAGGCTTTCCCCCCATTTCAGATACAGTCCGTTCTGCCCCAAGAGCTTCTCTCTGTGCTGTGGCTTTTCCCTCCCAGGCAACTGCCCCCCTGCCAGCAAGGGAGAAGGGGGGGCACCCTGCTCGCCACCTGCCAGATGGGGAAGATGGAGGGAATGCCATCGCCAGATCCATGCCCTTTACCTGTTTCATCAGCACCTTCAGTTTCCTTCCTGCTGCATCTGGGTGCAGCCCCAGACGGCCCAAGCATGGCAGGGGGTGTCTCTTCCCCTACCCTCTGGGTCTTCCTGGCCTTACTGGGGCACTTGGTTAAGGGTGTTGGAGGTCTCTCTCTGCACACTTCATCTTGCAGCTCCCTGGCCACAGCCCCTAAGTGCTCTTCTCTTCCTCTGCTGACTTCTGTGGGCTTCTGTGGTGTTGGGATACTGAGGGCGAGGAGCCATTTGGAGCCTGGAGATCCACAAGCACTTTGAGGCAGAAACCTTCTTGCACGTTGACTCCTCGGAGCTCTTGAGATAAATAAACTGAACTCTTAAACCAAGCTTGCACTGTGTGACATCGTTACTCATATGAGTTAAGAGGGGCCTTTAAAAATAACTTTCTGTATTTCCAAATTTAACAAGGAAAAACGGGGGAAAAATGGGGAATAAACCACCCAGTGGCCATTGGTGCACAAATATTACATTGATCATGTAAGGTAAAGGTAAAGGGACCCCTGACCATTAGGTCCAGTCGTGACCGACTCTGGGGTTGTGGCACTCATCTTGCTTTATTGGCCGAGGGAGCCGGCGTACAGCTTCCGGGTCACGTGGCCAGCATGACTAAGCCGCTTCTGGCGAACCAGAGCAGCGCACGGAAATGCCGTTTACCTTCCTGCCGGAGCAGTACCTATTTATCTACTTGCACTTTGACGTGCTTTCGAATTGCTAGGTTGGCAGGAGCTGGGACCAAGCGACAGGAGTTCACTCCGTCACGGGGATTCGAACCGCCGAACTTCTGATCGGCAAGCCCAAGAAGCTCAGTGGTTTAACCCACAGCGCCACCCACGTTCCTCATTGAACATGTAACTTGATATAAAGAGGCCCAAAGAGGTATCCACATGAAATGGCTTCAGGTGCAGCCAAGGCAGTGAGAGGCTCAAAGCAGACGTCTCTCAGCCACCATAAGGGCTCACAAAGCTCCCTTTGGTTTCCTGGTGTTGTAAACAAAATCTGCCCTTCTTCCCTTATGGGGGGTGTACAAGAGCCCTTTAGAGAGTCCTTTGTAGGTTCTCCATCGGCAGGAGAAAATAACAGAGGCCAAGCAGAGAATATTGAGAAGCAAAGCAACTTGTAAACCTGATCTTTATTGATCTGTTGCAACAGGATCCTCACCCCTCACATGCAGGAAAGGAGGACCCCGAACCAAGGTGTGCCAGCCCTTATATAGACATTTAAATTTCTTGCCCTGGAGCTCAAGACCACCCCTCCATACATCATACATACATCACAGAAGGGGTGTAGCTCAAGACCGCCCCCCACAAACATCAAACCTACAACACAGAAAAGGTGGTCTACAACAGAAATTTGAATGCTGATGTTTTTCCTGTCTGCCAGTTTCTCTGATAATGCCTTTTCTGATTGACTTTCCTGGTAGTCTGGCCATTCCTTTGAGATGGCGATTTCCCAATTCCTCACCCCCTCCCTCCTTGCAGAGAAAACATTTGGTCAGCTGGGGAGTCAAAATGGTTTCAGGACTGTCTTCCTGTGCTGCTCTAGACATGTGATCCACATATCCATGTACCTGCCTGGTTGGTACATTTATGAACATTTATTATATATAGAAGACTCCCTGGAAAAGACCCTGATGTTGGGAAAGATGGAGGGCATAAGGAGAAGGGGACGACAGAGGACGAGATGGTTGGACAGTGTTCTCGAAGCTACCAGCATGAGTTTGACCAAACTGTGGGAGGCAGTGGAAGACAGGAGGGCCTGGCGTGCTCTGGTCCAGGGGGTCACGAAGAGGCGGACACGACTAAACGACTCAACAACACCTTAATTTTTCTATTACACCGGCCATTAACCTCCTGCGTCTGGAATGTAGTTGCAAAGCGCCTGAGCACCTGCAAAGAACAAGGACTTTGCCAATGGAGAAGGGTGGCGGCGAGTGGCAACTAACTGCGAGCGCAAAGCCTGATGCGCCTCTGGCCGAGCGCACGCCTCGTGTCTCCCGGGGGCATTCAGCCCCTCAGAGGAGCCCCGGGGATCAGGCCCCTCCTGGAGAATATGATGCAGCCCAATGGACTGGAGATACAAGGCTTCGCTGAACCCGCCTCGGCCTGCCAGTTGGGGGGCTTCCCTGGACGGGGGGCTCCTTTGGGGCGCCCTCCTGGCGCTGGTTGCGCCCCCGGCAGTCATGTTTGATGTATTACAGTGTGTTCATATTTTTTTGGAAGCTGCCCAGAGTGGCTGGGGAAGCCCAGACAGATGGACGGGGTATAAATTAGTTTATTATTATTATTATTATTATTATTATTATCCTGGCGCTGGTTGCGCCCCCGTCTTGGAGGGGGTAGATGACCTTTGGGGGTCCCTCCCAGCCCCGCCTTCCCCGGACAGCCCTGCGAGCGGCGCCTCCTGCCGCGCCTGCGCCGAGTCCGAACCTCGTGGGCTGATGGACGTCGAGGAGGCCGCCCTTGAGAGGAAGGGGCGGGAGCTGCCGCCGCCTCCCATTGGCCGAGGGCCTGACCGCGGCCGCCTCCTCGCCTTCCCATTGGCGGGCCTCGCGGAGGGGCGGGGAGGGGAAGCGGAAGGGGCGGGTCCGGTGGGCCCTCGACGTCCTTCCTGAGCGCGAGGCCTGCGCGGCCCAGTCGGGAGAGAGAGGCGGCGGCGGCGGCGCCATGGTGAGGAGCGGGAGCCGGAGCGGGAGCCGGGGGGGGGCGAGGGGGGGGCGCGGGTCTCCCTCGGGTCGGACTTGACTGACGGCGCGCCTCCTTCCTTCCTTCCTCCCCCCCCCGCGCAGGTCCTCCTTCACGTCCTCTTCGAGCACGCGGCCGGCTACGCGCTCTTCGCCCTCCGGCAGGTGGAGGAGGTGGCTCTGCTGCTGCCCCAGGTGAGCGAGGGCAGGCCGGGCCTTGGGGGGGCCGCATCCCCCCTCCCCCCTCGGGCGCCCTGATGACCCTCCGTCGGAATCTGTCAATCCTCTGACTCGGATGATGCCACGTGGGGATTCTGAGCGCCCGGGGGAAAGACACGTGCGCCTGGCCAGGGCCCAGCGGGGAGGCCTTTGCGGCCAAGGGAGAACAACTCGCGAGTAGGCCCGGCGGGATCAAAGGGAGGGCCGCGTGGCTTTCAATAGGTTTTTCCTCCCCGATATTAGATGGGATCTGCATGCACGGCCCCTTTTTGTTCGTCGCGCCAGTAAAGAGGAATATTCAGTCGCTTTGGCAGAGATTTGCATAGGTTAGAGCGATCTCGCCCCCAGCAACAAAATTCCACCATCCCAAAGCACGTGGCTGCTCCCGCCATCTTGGTCTTGGGGGGGGGAGGAGGAGGCATTGTGGATTGATTCAGCGCAGGGCAAAACCAGGCCATGTGCTCTTGGCGGTTCTGCAGGTGGAGGAGAGCGTCCTGAATCTCGGCAAATTCCTCACGGTGGTCAAACTCGTGGCCTTTTCCCCCTTCAAGTCTGCCCAGAGTGCCTTGGAAAACATCAATGCCATCTCCGAAGGTGAGCAGCGCCCAGATTCCTTCCTCTTGGCTCTGATTCTGCTCTTTTTCGTAAGGCACCCCACTGAGTCTTCTCTTTCTCTTGCCCGGTCCAGGGATCCTCCATGAGGATCTCCGTCTTCTCCTCGAGACGAACTTGCCGGCCAAAAAGAAGAAGGTCGTTGTGGGGGTCAGCGATGCTAAAATCGGGGCTGCCATCCAGGAAGAGCTGGGCTTTCAGTGCCAGGCTGGGGGCGTCGTGGCTGAGATCACCCGAGGTAAGCCTGTGGAAAGGGCAACAGGGATGGGAAGAACGGTTTTCTGTGGAAGGATGAGGTGTTTGGAGAGTGTTTCTCTGCCAGCGCTTGGCAGGGCTGAACCCCCTTTCTCCTGTCTTCTCCCTCCGCCCAGGTATCCGGTTGCATTTCCACAGTTTGATCAAAGGTCTGACAGCGCAGTCCGCCTCCAAGGCTCAGCTGGGACTGGGGCATAGCTACTCTCGGGCCAAAGTGAAGTTCAACGTGAACAGGGTGGATAACATGATCATCCAGTCCATCAGCCTCTTGGATCAGCTAGACAAGGACATTAACACCTTCTCCATGCGGGTCAGGTGAGGGGTCTCTGGTGCTTTTGAGAGATGTTCTGGCCAAAGTGGATCCTTCTGGGCTGCATCAATAGGAGTATAGCATCTAGATCAAGGGAAGTAATAGTGCCACTGTATTCTGCTCTGGTCAGACCTCACCTGGAGTACTGTGTCCAGTTCTGGGCACCACAGTTCAAGAAGGACACTGACAAACTCGAACGTGTCCAGAGGAGGGCAACCAAAATGGTCAAAGGCCTGGAAACGATGCCTTATGAGGAACGGCTAAGGGAGCTGGGCATGTTTAGCCTGGAGAAGAGGAGGTTAAGGGGTGATATGATAGCCATGTTCAAATATATAAAAGGATGTCACATAGAGGAGGGAGAAAGGTTGTTTTCTGCTGCTCCAGAGAAGCGGACACGGAGCAGTGGATCCAAACTACAAGAAAGAAGATTCCACCTAAACATTAGGAAGAACTTCCTGACAGTAAGAGCTGTTCGACAGTGGAATTTGCTGCCAAGGAGTGTGGTGGAGTCTCCTTCTTTGGAGGTCTTTAAGCAGAGGCTTGACAACCATATGTCAGGAGTGCTCTGATGGTGTTTCCTGCTTGGCAGGGGGTTGGACTCGATGGCCCTTGTGGTCTCTTCCAACTCTATGATTCTTCCTCACAGTCTCCCTATGCTTACCACAGGCAGCGTCACCACACATGCTGACTGTATAGAAACGGGAGATAGAGAATCGATAGCCCTGCGTATACACCACAGCCAGGCCGACTTTCCCCTGAGCTGTATTGTTAGTACGGGTACAAAAAACCCACACACCCAAGATCCCGGAGCCTTTTCTAAACTTGGAGCCGGGTAACACTCTGCTTGGAGAGGTTGTGGGTGCTCTGTCCTGACTGTGCCTTCTCTTCCCCCGGCAGAGAGTGGTACGGATATCATTTCCCTGAGCTGATCAAGATCGTGAGTGACAACTACACCTACTGCCGCCTCACCAAGCTCATTGGGAACCGGAAGGAGCTGAGTGAGGAGAGCCTGGAGGCCTTGGAAGAAATCATCATGGACAGTGCCAAGGCTCAGGCTATCCTGGAGGCCTCCCGCTCATCCATGGGTCAGTAGGGGCGGGGTGGGGCCTTGGGTAAGCCAGGTGAACACAGGTGCTGAACCGCGGCTCTTGCAGTTTTTTGATTTCAAGCAGCTCATCTACTTGGTCTTGAATCTTTCTGGTGCTAATGTCCGTTTTCAGTTCCTTTGTTTTAAATTTGATGCATGCAACA